AGCCCTGTGCCCGACCTTGTCCTGTCCGACCTCCGTATTGGCCAATCATCCTTCCTTGTCCGACTTCTTTTTTCCCGACTTCTGGGCCGTTTGGCTTATATCCAGACCCATCCAGAATCATACTGCCATTATTTATTATTATTATTATTATTTTTTGTGCTCAACAATATGCCTCCTCCGCAAGACTCCTAAGCGTCACTTCTTGTGATGTTTAGGAGTTAGCAGGCCGTCATCCGAGGCCACATCAGCCTCAGATCTGACCTCCATCATTCGAGGCTACGTTGGACCTGACCTCCATTTATCGCAGACTAGTGCTGGCCTGCACGTTGGTCGATCTTGCACTACCATTGCTTCAGCACCTCCCCCCGACGTAAGTCGTGATCATTTACTCTAAAAAGGGATTCTAACCTCCCTGCCTTGGATGCCAAACTGGCCAGATCTCGAACATCGTGGGCTGTCAAAGCCTCCCGAAGACTGGTGTGCATGTTCCTGACCACCAAAGTGGTCATTTCGCTTTCTTCAATGAACGTTGGGCAACGTCCCTTCATTAGACGTATCCGCTCTATAAATTGATAAGCAGTTTCGTCTGGCATCTGTCGGATCTCCAAGAGATCTGTGAGTGATACCGTCGGGAGAGGGTTAAAAAACCTTGTATGAAACGCTGTCTCCAAACCTTCCCAGATTCGCAACCGTCATGGCGGAAGATTAACAAACCAGGAAAAAACGGTTCTTGTAAGCGATAATCCGAACAACTGTAATTTGTAAAACGGATTATTGCTCACTTCCCCCAATTGAGCCGTGAACCGTCTCACATGTTCAATGGTCGAGGCTCCATCTTCTCCTGAAAAAGAATGAAAATCCGGTGGCCGGTAATTCCTCGGGAGAGGATGCTCATTGATTATTCTCTCTAAAAATGGCCTCTGATATGCCGGTCGGTTCACCGTTTGCGGATTCATTCCGAAATGTACCCGCAAAACTTGAGCGATGTCCTCCGGATCTATTCTGGGTGGAACAGGGTCGAACACCGGAACAGGATTATGGACCTGTTCCCTCACGAAGGCTGGCTCGGCTGGGGTGGGATTATGAATATGATCTCTCAATCTTTCTTTGGCTCAGCTGGGATGGGATTATGATCCTGTCCCCCCAACCTCTCTTTTCTTACGATATTCGGCTGAGTATTATCAACTCTTGGTCCCAAAGGAACAATATATGGGAAAGTTAGAGGAGTCTCCCCATATATGTTCGGTTGAAAGTTGTGGCGCTTGGAAATGTACTGTCAACATATAATGGCCCTGCAAACGTTGGTCCTGGCAAAGTTGCCCGAAAGCGAGAAAGAGACAATGCTGGAGGCGTAATCGAATGTAGTGTGACTTTGGAAAGCGCCTGATCCAACATGTTCTGCATTAGATTTTGTTGCTCACGCAACATGTTTTGTTGTTCACGCAACATGTTTTGCATAGCCAGAGTATGCTGATTGTTCAATTGTTGAACATAAGACACCCAATCGGTAGGTGGTTGGGGAGTCTCCCCTGGATTTGGCATAACAAGTGGTGAAATATTTTCTCCCACCGGTGCTGATGGTGATTGAGGTTGTGAGCCTGCCATACTGATTTTTTTGATGATTCGGCCGGACCTCAGTCGTATGAAATTCTCTGTGGATGTAGGATCAGCAATCTTGCCTTTCTCCCACTGTGGTCGCCAAATTGTTGATGTAATTTTTCAACAATAAAAAGTAAAATCCGAAAATAGAGAAATATATTCGAATTTGATAGATGAGTGCCTGAGATTAGGAATCTCTAAACACTGTAGAATACATAAAATGAAATAGGAAATATAAAATAAAAGACTGGAAAATAAAGTGGTGATCCCCAAAAGCAATTCTCTTGAATTTGATGTCGATTGAAGATCCTTTTTTCGAACAGCACCGGATCCTTAAATAACCCCTTAAAGAAGCGGTTTGAACCACCATTTGGTCGGTTACAGCAACTGCTGTCAACCGTCTACCAAGTTCTCCTCTATTGACACGTGTTGCAACTTCCTTCAACCGTTCGCCGGTTGCAACTTCCTCCAACCGCCCTAGAACTGCCTCTCACGACTTGAACCGTCCCAGAAATGCCTTTCGTCCGACCTGCATACCCACTGCCATGTCCCTTCTTGCCCGACTTCGTTTCGCCCAACCTATGTGCCACCCAATCAATCCAGAGACTAACTGGTCACTAGACCAAACGATTCCTTGGCCACCCCATCAAGCGACCACCATCTGGTCTCTTGTCCGACCACGTATCGTCCGTCTCATTCTTCTTCGCCCGACCTCACTTGGTCCGAACTCCGCATCAAACGACCTCCATATCAGCTGACGTTCGTGTCGTCCGACTCAACCGACTGCGGACCGCCCGACCTGCTCAACCGACTTTGGACCATCCGACCTATTTAACCGACTGAGAACCAACCGACCGTAGACCAATCAAATGTGGTCCCGACCACAGAAAAACCGACTGTGGTCCCGACCACGGTCCAACCGACCTCGGTCCCGACTGCAGGCCAACCAACTGTGGTCCCGACCACAGAGCAACCGACCGGCTCTATTTGCCTTATCTCCTTAGATGGACAGACTGTCCTCTTGACAGACCTCCGCGTCTATCCATACTTCTTCCTTGCCCGACCTTCGTCTTGACAGACCTCCGCGTCCGCCGATACTTCTGCTTTGCCCGACCTTATCACGCCCGAGCCCTGTGCCTGACCTTGTTATGTCCGACCTCCGTATTGGCCGATCATCCTTCCTTGTCCGACTTCTTTTTTCCCGACTTCTGGGCCGTTTGGCTTATATCTAGACCCATCCAGAATCCTACTGCCATTATTTATTATTATTATCATTTTTTGTGCTCAACAATTGCTAATATTACCGGTCTCCCACCCGATGGGATTCCTCTAGATCAATCTATATCTATAGTAAATTCTATGGATTATGTTAGATCCGACAACCGTTCTTGGTCTGCATATTTGAAAACAACTCCAGCCCTTCTTCTTTTGGGGAACGTAAGAGGGTGGAACAGTTTGTATTCTTAAATGTTTGGTTGGTGCATTTTTACGGAAAGCATTGGTTGGATCATGTTGCCAAGACTTTTGAACCGTTGGCTTGGATTATTTTTAATTTTGAGAAACCTTTTTCGCTAGGTGAGGTGTTCTTATCCTACGTCTATCCATCCCTTAACAAGTTTGTTTGGGAACTTCAGAGTTCCACAATGAAGAGTCTTTTTGGTTCAACATGGTTCCTTCAGATGTGGTGTGCAAAATACTTTGGTCGATTAATTACAAGGACTGTTACCACGGTTGAATATGTTGGCATATTTTGGGATGTCTTACGAGTGAAATGTATATTTCCCAAAACTTCCCGTCAACTATTTCAAGATTTAATATCATCAGGTGACGAACCTTTATATTTTTGTGGGATGAAAAATTGATCATATAGATTGGCAGGGTATCGAGCCCCCAAACCGTTCTGATTTTTTTACGGTCCTTTGGAATTGAAGGCTTGGCTACAACCACGTAAACTGGTCAACGGGATGGGTTGTTCAAGTTTTTCTTATCAACTAGGACCCTATTTTCCGCATTGCTTTGCTCGGAAATTTGGGCTTAAACAGGGCATTCCACAGACGGCTTGAGGTAGTAATATCGTGATTATCCTTCGAGAGCGAACCATACCTCATACTTTACTTCAGAAAGGCCTAAAAAACTTCCATGTCTATTGTGCTCCATCATGAAAAATGGATTGCATAGCCTTTTGGTTCGTAAAAATGGGTGATTTTCCCGCTCAAGTTTTGTTGAATGGTGGGATGTTATGGTTAAGCAACTATTTTATGTTCCAGAAGATGTCGCAACATATTTATTTGATGGTGATGAGAATAGAACGAGGTACAAGTTTGTCGTCATACAACGCATCCCAAAAAGAGACAGAAAAGAAAGCTCTTTAGAGACTTCGGATGGAGGGACTGATCCGGTAGCGTATCAGGTTAGAACCTATATATGCTTTCTTTATACTTTGCATTTGCCCTTTTCAAGCAAACTTTATATGTATATTTTACACAGGCCTTGTTAGTGAAAGTAGCACGAATTCAGATGATACACCTATCTGACCACGAGGGGCCCATATATGGGATCCAATCACCACACCTAGACCATATGCCTTGGGTCGACAATTACATAAACGGGGTCGATCAGATATTTCTCTGTCGCGACCTAGGGTTCATATCATTGCTATTTTTTATTATTATTCTAGTAAATATATACATAGAGTATATTTGTATCGTTATGTAGGAGCGTCATTTACTTAATGAACTCGACACCGACCAAGATAATCGAGACAAGAGGCGCCTTATTCAAGATCGTACTATGATCAAGGTCCCTGAGGACAATACTAATGAGGAGGATGACGTTGTCGTGAGACCCCAAAAAAGGCGGTTGTGAATCCGAATTCACGAGGATCCTAAAAGGGATCATTTGAATTTGAAGGTACAATCTGCGATGATCTAGATGTGCCAGCCTTATTTGATCATTTTGATCTCCATTCTTAAGGCGATGTTGACACAACCGTGGCTATTATGACTCTTCCGGCTAATGAGGTAGTATAAATTTATTTTTACACAACCTTGTTCCTTAGTAATTTTATTATATAATTGTTTTTTTTATATATATTTATACATAAACATTGGTAGCCGCCCTTGAAGAGTCAATGACCACCCCTCGTTCTTCATTGATGAACACTGCTGATGAAAGTTCCTAAGAGCTAATTCCTTCTACTACTGTAATGGGAGGCACCGAACCTTCTTATGGCCTATCTTCTTCTAGTGGCGAGGTTTGACATAACCCTTATTTTATTTATTTTTTTGTATGATTTTTCGTTATCATCAAAGTTCTTTTTTTTTTGTGCCGGGAATTTCTTGTCAAGATTCGGATAATAGTTTTGACCTTTATGCTGAAGAAATAGAGAAAACCCTGGAGGGCCCCGAGATCACGATGCTTTATGACTCGCGATTACAACAACTCTACTTTCAGGCCATCAAATTGGGAGATGAGTAAAAGACGCAGGTCACACGAAGGGCTTATGAGGTAGATAGCTTTTCTATTTCCCTTCATTTGCCTTATTTTCTTCAGACCCGTGCTGAAGACACTTTCAAATTTTCGAGCGCCCATATGATAGAACGATTCACACAATACTATGCTAGTGCCAATACACTTGATGCAAGTGTTTCTTCCATCCATAAGCAACTATATGCAGCTATAGCGAAAGAAAAAGAAGAAGAGCAACAAAGAGTTCGTATCAGAAATCAGGAGCTGAAAGCTGACAAGATTTCAAACAAAGAACAAAAGCGACAAGTAGTTGCATCCATACAAAGTATTGAAGGGGAGCTTGATGACGTTAGGGGCGCAGATCTTGTAGTCAAGGCGGGACGTTTGTTAAAATGCACAAGAAAGCAAAAATTAGAGACATGTGGAGGAACTTGGTGAGCATATGTCATACGTTCTTTCAACATGGTCCTTTCTAGCCTTATTTTGATTTGAAGCTTTTCTTTTTTTCTTTTTATATATTTTTTAATCTTGCTTTCTGAGACATATATTTTTTGTTCTTTCTATGACCACCATTATCATTGTTATGCATGCACTTCTTTTTCTATATTTCATATGTTGGCATATTTGTGTCATGGTAGTTAACCAATTTATTTTTATATCGTATAATTTAATTATATATATATATATATTTGTTGGTGTCTACAAAGAAAATTTTACAAGTTGTTTGTCTTATCCTTGGCACATGTTTAAACATTGTCAAGTCTTGAAAATTGGAACCAAAATGTCATATGATCCTCCCGAATCATTCTTGTAGTTTCAGATTTTATGTTGGCTGTTTGTAACTAGAATACATGACCATAAGACTCGGTACTAAAGCTTAAAATTTCATAAAGATTGGTGGAAATTTGATACCCAAAATGTCCTTCACCATAAACTTTGGTCCAACTGTTGATCTAGGCAAAAAATTACACATTTCATAGAGTTGATTTCTACTTTCATTCACTAGCATACTTATATAAACTCAATTCGAGATTTCAAACCACCATTGAGCCCACATCTTCTAGACATTAAAAAAGCTAAACCTCTTACCGCAAAATCATCAAAATGAATGGTGGAAATTTTTTTTCGCACAAAATGCAGTTTATCACTGATCTCTGATATGCCAAAGAAATGATCGACTCATTAATCCGATGCTTTTCATAAGAAACCAGAGAATTGTGCTCCATCCAATGATCGCTTCAGGAAATCTAAGAGAACTTTGATTCCAAAGATGAAGAATTGCATCCGACCATCAATCACGAGCACTTACTTTATGGTCATATCAGCGTAATTGAGGCTAATATGTTTCTTCTAGAGAAGCATAATAGTGACACGCCTTTGTGGCTAATGCAAGGGTATGGCTTCTCTTCTAATTCAGAATTTGTCCATCTGTGTTGTGAGAAAATAATGGAACAACTAAGTCGCATTAGATGGGAGCTAGTAGAGACTGTTTTGAAGAGGTCCGAACTCGTGATAAGGAAATATTTTCACTATGATCATCCAACGAAGAGTCTCATTCATCGAGAGTACAACCTGCCACTCAACAATCCTGAAGATGGACGCAGTTTCATGGACTGATGCATTTGTTTATATATATATATATATATATTTTATCTATCTAAATAAAATAGTGTTGGCCGATTAAACGGCCACCACCTTTCCTTGATATTTCCTTTTGTCTTATGTAAAACTTGATAAATAATAATAATAATAATAATAATAATAATAATAATAATAAATTTGATTTGGCAATTTCAAGCAGTTAATATTTTGCTTGCAGTTTCCATATGTCAATGTACGGTATATATTTTTCTTGGACATAGGAGGTGTCCGAGTCATTAGAGGATGATAGACCCCCCTCTTGTTCATTGGATTTTACCATCACGATTATCTGTGTCAAATACCTTCTTTGAATGCTTTTAATTACAATGACACCCCCTAGCCTGGATTATGATAAATACATAGCCTATGCTCAATACTCCTGTTGAGCACAAAAAATAATAATAATAATAAATAATGGCAGTAGGATTCTGGATGGGTCTGGATATAAGCCAAACGGTCCAGAAGTCGGGAAAAAAGAAGTCGGACAAGGAAGGATGATCGGCCAATACGGAGGTCGGACAGGACAAGGTCGGGCACAGGGCTCGGGCGTGATAAGGTCGGGAAAAGCAGAAGTATCGGCGGACGCGGAGGTTTGTCAAGACGAAGGTCGGGCAAGGAAGAAGTATGGACAGACGCGGAGGTCTGTCAAGAGGACAGTCTGTCCATCTAAGGAGATAAGGCAAATAGAGCCGGTCGGTTGCTCTGTGGTCGGGACCACATTTGGTTGGTTTGCAGTCGGGACCGAGGTCAGTTGGACCGTGGTCGGGACCATAGTCGGTTGTTCTGTGGTCGGGACCACATTTGGTTGGTCTGCGGTCGGTTGGTTCTCAGTCGGTTAAATAGGTCGGATGGTCCAAAGTCGGTTGAGCAGGTCGGGCGGTCCGCAGTTGGTTGAGTCGGACGACACGGAGGTCGGCTGATATGGAGGTCGGTTGATGCGGAGTTCGGACCAAGTGAGATCGGGCGAAGAAGAATGAGACGGACAATATGTGGTCGGACAAGAGACCAGATGGTGGTCGCTTGATGGGGCGGCCAAGGAATCGTTTGGTCTAGCGACCAGTTAGTCTCTGGATTGGTCGGGTGGCACATAGGTCGGGCGAAACGAAGTCGGGCAAGAAGGGACATTGCAGTGGGTATGCAGGTCGGACGAAAGGCATTTCTGGGACGGTTCAAGTCGTGAGAGGCAGTTCTGGGGCAGTTGGAGGAAGTTGCAACCGGCGAACGGTTGAAGGAAGTTGCAACCGGCGAACGGTTGAAGGAAGTTGCAACACGTGTCAACAGAGGAGAACTTGGTAGACGGTTGACAACAATTGCTGTAACCGACCAAATGGTGGTTCAAACCGCTTCTTTAAGGGGTTATTTAAAGATCCGGTGCTGTTCGAAAAAAGGATCTTTAATCGACATCAAATTCAAGAGAATTGCTTTTGGGGATCACCACTTTATTTTCCAGTCTTTTATTTTATTTTTCCTATTTCATTTTATGTATTCTACCGTGTTTAGAGATTCCTAATCTCAGGCACTCATCTATCAAATTCGAAGATATTTCTCTATTTTCAAATTTTACTTTTTATTGTTGAAAAAATACATCAACAGACTTATTATAGTATAAGCTTTTTCTATTTAAATATAAATATATGTTAAACACAAATGTGCTATTTTTAATATAATAATATGTTAATTTTACAATGTACTTGATGGTACTGATATGTTGAAATGTACTCATTATAATATAAATGGTTGCTATTTAAATATAAGTATGTACTAAACACAAATGTGCTATTTTAAATGTAATAATATATTAATTTTGCATATGTTTGTTATATACTAAAATGTGTTCATTATAATGTAAACATTTGCTATTAAAATATAAATGTGTTAAACTACAAATAAAAATATGTTAAATATAATAATATGCAAGTTTTACAATGAGTATGTTGAAATTTGTAAGTATTTGCTATTTAAATATAAAAATGTGCTAAATTACAAATATGTTATTTTATACTCCCTCTGTCCGGCTACAAAGGTTTTATTTACCTTTTGCGTCATTGTATTTAACATTAAAAAAATTCTTGTATTTGTATAATTTTTCCCTTATTTTGCACTATGTTTTCATATAATAATTAATATTCAAATATCAATATGCAGAGCCGGTAGAAATAATATATAATAATATGTTAATATTATAAGGTGGGTGCTATGCATTGAAATCTACTCATTTAGTGTAAGTGTTTACTCTGAAAATATTAGCAAAATCAAACAAATAAAAAAGCAAAATTCATAGATAAATTAATAAATACAAATTTACCAAATTAGCCTTCTTTAATAATAATCCTACAATTAAACAAAAGTAGACCCGTCAAAACGGGTTAGTGGGGCAAATTGACCCACAACCCACCATAATTTGCAAATAAGCGGGTTGTTTGCGGGTCAATCCGTGACGGAACGGATCAAAATTTCATCAACCCAACCCCACCTACCAGCGGGTGGCGAGCTAAGCGGGCTAGCCCTAGACTTTTTAAAAATATTAATATTATAAATGTTTTCGTAATTAATATTTAAAAATAGTTAAAAATAGTTTTATCGTAGAATTTAAATAATAAATATTTTAAAATAAATGACAAATATAAAAATTCTCAATTCTAAATATTATTAGTTAGTGTATTTAAAAAAATAATAATAAGAAATATTTTACAAATAAATCATAATTAATTTTATGAATATGTAGATTCTATAATAAAAAGAAATATTATACAACAATAAAATAAAAGACAAACAAAACAAACAATGAAAAATCGAAATAAATAAGAGTGATGTTGATAACAAAGTTAGAAAATAAAAGCAACTTGTAGACAATATTGATTAATTTATTTAAGATAATTTAATTCGACTTAACTAAAAATATATTTTTTCAGTAGATTAAAAATTATAATATGTTATTTATTAAATAAAATATACAAGATGATTTTGATATATATATTTTTTTCTTTGTAAGTTTGTATTTATAATGATATATTTATAATATATATAAAATTAAATTAATTTTAAGTGAGTACTAATTATTATAATTCTTTGACCCGCAGGCTAATCCGTCCCATTGCAGGCTAATCTATTTTTAATCCACAGCCTACGTGGATTGGCTTGTTTAGGCCAACAATTTAATGAGTTTACAAAATTACAATTCAATCTTCTTAAAAAGTGAGTTGGAGCGAGTCAATGCGACGAATTCAATCCATTTTGACGGGTCTGAACAAAAATATAATCAGCTGAAAATCAATCAGAAATATAAAAATAAACGAAAAGAAAAAAAATTAGTTTGAATTTGATATGAAAATAATATTTTGATGAGATGTTTTGTTAAAAAAAAAAAAAAGGTAATTTTTTCGAGCCAAATAGTAAAATTCGCAGAAAATCGGTTAAAGAAACATATGTCTGCGTCAGCATAGAATCTAAAACCGTGTTTTTTAAGGTTTTTCTTTTTAATTAACGTGTTTTTTTAATTCCAAGCAGTTATGACTAATTAATATCACTGACGACAATACAAAAGTGGTAAATACTCAGATACCCCCGAAGGGGGCCCCACGATTTGCCACGTGTCCTACGTCTTCACTGCCGCCTCACCACATCGTCAGATAGTTTTTTGATGTGCACGCCGCCAAGCATGGCTTCTGACTCTCTCCGACAACCTTCTTCAATCCCATTCCAATTTTCTGAAACCCTAAACCTTCCGATTCTCTCGGCTATGGCGATGCCGATTGTTTCCGGGGATCAGTACCTGGAATCGCTCGTGAAATTCGTGGAGAACGAGGCGGAGGAGCTCATTGAAGGGAAGCTGGTTTTGAAGCTGAATCCAATGGGTTTGCGGTACGTGCAGTCGAGGCTGGAGGCGCTGGAGGAGCTGGAGAGCTTGTCGGTGGGAGCGCCGGTAGATTATTTGAGGGCGTATGTTTCTGATTTGGGTGATCACCGCGCGCTCGAGCAGTTGCGGAGGATTCTGTGCTTGCTTCCGTCTTTGAAGCTTGTCTCTGTTCTGTCGCCGCCGGCGAGAGACCCGACGCCTCTGATTTTGTTGCCGTTTTGGAGGTTGAAGGTTTTGGAATTGCATGGATGTGATTTGTCGACGTCGGCGGCCAAGGGGTTGCTCGAGCTGAGGTTTTCGCTCGAGAAACTGATTTGTCATAACTCTACAGTGAGTACTGAATGATGAATACAAAGTATTTTTGTTGTTGGAAAATCTGGCTTTACAATTCGTCGTTTGTCTTGCTGAGAAAAGAACACGCAGAATGTGTGGCTTAAAATTAAGTGTGATTTTTTTACTTTATTCCTTATTGGTATACTTTTTGTGTTTGATATTATTTATGTCTTTTTCGGGATGTGCTCTGCATCACGTTTCTGATGTGATTGTTATAATATCTTTTCTTGAAAACTGAAATTTGTTTATGAATTCTTTATAGAGAAAGAACTGAAAATGTTTAGAATTTTGTAAATTATCTGGCCGGTGTGATTTCTATTATGTGATGTTTAGCTCCTAAGTTATTTATAATAAATTTATAATTCCATCTCTTTGTCCTTGTCTATATATATATATATTTTTTTTTTTTTTTCTGAAATCTATTTGCATTTTATAGAATCAAACAGGCTGTATTGTTGTATAGTTACATTTGAGAACTGCTAATACCTACAAACTACTGCTTTTATTAATGTACATCTATATATATTTGTTATTGTTCACACCCATGGAACTGCTGTTGTTTTGACAGAATTTTTATGTTCTTATGGATTAGGATGCATTGCGGCATGTATTTGCTAGTAGAATTGCAGAGATAAAGGATTCAAACCAGTGGAACAGATTGTCTTCTGTTTCGTGTGCGTGGAATGGTTTGGTTCTGATGGATGAGTCCTTGCAGCTTCTTCCGGAAGTTGAAACTCTTGATCTTAGTCGGAACAAATTTGCAAAGGCTATCAATCTTCAGAGGTGCACCAAATTAAAGCATCTGGACCTGGGATTCAACAGCCTAAGAAGTATCGAATCACTTACTGAGGTAGCCCTTTGAATTTTAATTTCAAGAGAGCATATTTGATTTGTTTCAGTCAGTTGAAGATGTAGTTTCGATACATGTCGATCACAAGTGTACAGACCATGCCATATTTTTAATGCCTTGTCATCTGAGTGGAGTGCTTCGTTTTAGAAATCAATAGAAGAAGGCGTTTAGTAGGCTGAGTGAGAATGCAGAAGTTTACGGAATATGCGAAAGCTTAGCATTATTTGTTTCAAATGGAGACTCTACATGAAGCTATATCTGACTTTGTAGGAAATTTTATATAAGATGAGCATTTTAGTGGAAAACATGAACCTGTATTGTGAAAAACATATATAAGAATCTTTTCTCTTCCTCTGATTTATTTTGTTTTTTCAGATTTCTCTCTGGGAGCAATGAATTAGGTAGCTATACTTGAACGAATGTGCCTGGATGCTTTTATTTTTATTTGCTTATGTCTAATATCAAACATGAAGTAAAATTTAACAACTCCACAGTTTGCTCAGAAATGAATAATGATATTGCTTGTTTATGCAGGTCTCTTGTGGAATTGTTAAGCTTGTGCTGAGGAACAATGCTTTGACCAAATTGCATGGAATAGAACACATGAAGTCACTTGAGGGGCTCGATCTATCATACAATGTCATTTCAAGATTCTCGGAGGTTGAGATCCTTTCTGGGCTTCCATCTCTTCGAAACTTATGGTTAGAAGGAAATCCTGTCTGTTTTGCCAGATGGTTTCGCCCCCAAGTTTTTAGCCTTTTTCCTCATCCACAGAATGTAAGCTGTTGCTAGTCTGACATCTGTCATTTCATTTCTAGTTTACTTGATTAACAAGAGAGGTAGTGTGCATTGATATGCTTCAAGCCAACACTGAGCTATCTTCGACTCACATGTCTGTTGTTCTTGCCTTCTCCCTAGCTTAACCTGGATGAGAAGAGAATCTCTGCTTGTGAGTCAATGAAGCGGCAGGTTATAGTTGCACTTAGGAAAAAGCGGCCTTCTAGTTTTGGATTTTATTCACCAGCCAAAGATAATGCAGATTCAGTGAAGAGTGTATTTACTAAAAGGGTAGGAAACTATATATTCAATGAAAATTATAGTTTGACTTGCAATTTTATAGTGTCGTTGTTTAAGCATTTGCATCTATGATGCTTTGCAGAAGCGGATGTCTCGTCTTGTCAATTTGGAGAGTGAAGGGCAAAGACCGTATGTATGTTCTCGTCGAGATTCAGCATCTAATGAGAATGAGATTCAAAGAAGAAATGAGAATGGTATTTCAGTTGGGGAAGCTGATATAGAACAGCTAGGACAGAAAATTGATTTCATGAAAAAGGAATATTCTGCTTTATGGTTGCTGGAATTTGAAAAGTGGATGAACCAAACCAAAGGCAATATTGTTGATGATTGTAAATCAACTAATTTTACCTTGTTCAAGGAAACAAAGATTCATAAGGAAGGTGAGAAACAAGATAAAGTTGTGTGTGATTATATCCAGTTGTCTCGGGGTGAGGTTAACACAGCTGTTCTAGATTCTGATGCCCTCTTAGTAGATGCATCGGCCTCTGCTAGTAGATGGCAGAGATCTCATCTAACTTCTGAAACAGCTTCGAAAAATGATGTGGTTCACGTTAGAAATAAACCTTTAGCAAACCAGTTGAATTTAAGTCAGGGAGGACCTAGAACCTTAAATAGTGATTTCTTTGGATCTTCGGATGCTGGAAACATGCATTGTACCGAACCTTCAGAACGGAGAGGGGACAACATGAATGTCAAGAATGCAATTCTCTCAACTGCAATTAACAATACAACTGCATTCTCTTCAGCCTTGACTTTCTCTGGATCTCCCCCTCATTACCAAGAAAGTGTTCTACATCAATGCCATGATCCAGAAAAGGAACTTCTGCAGGGATCTTCTGAATCCCTGTCATTGGCCTCATCTGATGGCAAAACAAGTCGTAGTGAAGATGATTATGCAGAATTTGGCTTTTCTGTATCTCTGGATGATCAATATGCTATTGACAGCTTGTCTCGAAGGAATCTAAAAGGTTTTTTTCTATGTTCTGATGAAGATGATACGGGTGATGCATATCATGACAGAAAGTTGTCACTGGAGCAAAATGGGGAGCACATCGTGTCATACTGAAGGACATTTCATCAGTATTGAAGGTAGAGATTTGGAACGTCAAACCACGCCTGCATATCTTCACAAATGCTGAGGCCCATGAACGATGGTGATTAAATTAAGTGTGTTTTAGTATTGAGTAAAATGATGGGAGAATGCAAAATGTAAAAGAGTGCTCAAAAGAAGGATGATTTCCTTGTATTCAGTGTTATTCCCTTATTGACACCGAAACATCATAGAAGGACTTGATCGGATAGAGATCTACAGAAGTGTAATAAAGTTTGAAAATAAAGATGCATGTTTTGCCAACGATACGTGGAAATTAATTCTAGAAAATTTTCTGCAGCGAAAACATACTTGATGTGTCTGGCAACTGTGACAGTGGAAATTGTTTCGGTGTTAGAACATCAAATGTTGGGAAAGATAAGTTCATTGAAATTATTGTTTATCTGACCATCGCTATTCCTGGAGCTAATGAAAATCTGATTGAAGTATATGGCACTGGAATTGCCTGTTCCTGGATATATCAGAGGACAATTAGAAGAATTTTCTTATTTTTAACTATCTGAAAATCCATATACAACTTGCATATTATATGGCCTTTACCTCAGTTTCAACATATTTTGTGAGGTTTTTACTTTGTACTATCCCTTACAATATCGTACCCTTTGTAAATACATGAGCTACTTCTTATGAGTTTAATATCGGCTCTCAGATAGTTATTCTTGGCTGTAGGGTATTCAAATTGTGCTTAATAGAAATCACATCATCAAGTTGTGATTATTTATTTATTTATTTTGGTCTTATGGAAGGATGTAATCCTCTCACAGCATTGTTGGAGAACCTGCTATGAATAAAGCACGTAAATGAAGTGTATTGGTAGAGCATATTATATGTCAATACCAAAACTTCTAATGTTTTAATGTGGCCATTGGATTCTGATATCTATAATGTTTCTGTAATGAATGTATCTAATCCTGTCACACAACACTTCATTGACAATTTTAATACCTATCTCATCTGTATGTGTATTTGCTTACTTATGTGACTTATATTATAAGCTCTATTGGTGCAAGCCAGTACTGAAGGATCGCTGATATGAAGTCAAAAGTTTAGAACTTGTTTCTTTGAATCATATACATTAGGAGCTAAACTTTATTTTTGCGTCGATGACATTTGATTGCATGTACTAGGAAAGTCATTGACCTTTGCAAGATGCCATGTGCATTCTTGATGCTTATGGTTTATTTGTATAAGTGCACTTCATGTTATATTTTGACTTATCAAGGTGGGGTTTTAAGATTATTTAAAAGTTCACCCTCTTCCCCATTTTAGATTTATGGAGAAGTAATTTTGTTATGGAGCAGCATAACTTTATAATATACTTATTGCAGATGCATAGCTTATGCTTATACATACACTTCACTCTCTCTTTTTCGTATTTTCTCTACAGAAACACATCTGTGGAGACAGATCTGCATTCATTGTATAACACATTCCAGAAACTGGCTAAGAAACTATTAAGGATGATTCCCTCTTGCTGGGATGATCCTCAATATGGCTTATTTGTAAGGTTATCTATCTTGGTTATTATTTTATATGATCCGAATTTTATTTATTTATTTATTTTTTTTAAACTTGGCAGCTTGGAGCAGAGCGAAATCAATCTTCATGTGAATCTTCCCAGCACACAAACCAATCAGGAAGAAGGAAAACTCTACAACCACCTTATTACCTGTCTGAGATTTAATATATTCAGCCAACTGCCAAATTTCCGGCGAAGGTACTATTTAAGATTCTCTCCATCATCTTGTTTTCCAATATTTGCATGATTGGGAATGGGATTAGGACCACCAAAATAAACTGGTAACTAGATTAATAATAATAATAATATTATTATTACAGAACATGTCCTATGATTGGTTTGGTAGGGACTTGATGCTACTTGTGCTTTGTCCTATGCGGATTAATAATATCATTTGCTTAGTCATGAATGATTCTCATCATGTGCACTGAGAAATAAACAAACCTGATTGAGCTCAGAAATGGATTCCAAAGTACCATCACTTCCTGTCCCCTTTAGTAAACAAACACAACATGCTATTATTATTATTCATTCCTGAGTAAAATGATATTTCGGTCGTGTATGTATCTCACTCATTGTTTCTCTACTAGTCTTAATTGACACTCCCACATGCTTACGAAAGTGTTGCGTGTAAAGTTAAAACAATTAGATGACAACAGGTGAAACATTGAATTATTTTAAGATATAGTTCATTTAAATAACTAACATGATAAATAGTATTGTTTATATCTATTTATTTCTAAGATTTCTGGTAAGTGCAATTAATTTATCAAGAACTTGAGGACAAAATTAGGTACTACTCATTTGAGTTAGACTTTGACATGTGTCCAAGCCGAGCATCAAATTAAACTTTATATATAACTCATATTCCAGCTTCACATCTCCTCCTTGGCCTAGACAAACATGGGAAATGCAGCACTTTGTGCGCCATCGATCCTCTCAAGTGGTGCAATCAAGATACTTTCGAGCGATGGGAGGCTGACGGTGTACACAAGAACACCCCTGAAAGCAGCAGAGATCATGTCGGAAAATCCAGGTCAGTTTCTATGCGAGCCAAACGATCTAAAAGTGGGACAGAGGATTGCAGGGATGTCCGGCGAGGAAGAACTGGAGAGAGGGCAGCTCTACGTCCTTCTCCCGATGGAAATGCTCTACTCGGTGCTTACAACCGAGGAGATGAATTCCTTGGCGCATGTAACTACCAAAGGATGGAAGCATGCAGCAGGTACACTTAGTTTTTCGAGGATATTTCCGGAGTTCTGTCTCTTCCCTAGTGTTTCGGAGGTTAGAGCAGTCGAGGGTTCGGCCGGCCGGCTGGAGATGAATGATAGGTTGATGACAAGGCAGAGATCTTGGGAGCCTGCTTTGGAAACCATTGTTGAAACTCCTCCACATGCTTGATGATGAGTGTTCTTTGTTTTTTTTTTTTTTTTTGGTTGGGTGTTGTGTAAAAATGTTTGTGGTTTTAGACTTATGTTGATTCATTATTTTGTTTGATTTTTATTCATTGATTCCTATTTTGTTACCTGGGATCGCAGTATATATATATATATATATGTTTTATTTCAATTAATTGTTCATTTGTTCTGAACTACCAGGCCTGTAGAAAAGAAAATATGTTTACAGTTAAACAAGAGATCTGAATGTATGTAGTTTCTATAATTATATATTAATTCTAATTTGAATCTTAACATAATGTGTTACTGATGGTTGAAAATATGTACATACAGATTTGAGTATTAAGATGTTTTTATTTTGTTGACAAAGCAATTTTGTTTGTTGATAAATTATTTCTATATATTTTTATTAAAAAGATTATTTCTATATTCTAATACTAAAATTCAAAATCTTGTTTTTGTTTATGTTTTTTACATAAATTTTCTAGATTTTTTGAGCATTTAACTCCTATAATATTTTATTTACAAAATTTAAAACTTTCAAAAGAAACCATAGTAAACTTTTACTCCGAGTATTGAACACAAAAAAGAACTATTCAACAATTAAAAATAAAATTTTTAGCTATATTGTTTTATGTGTAAAACTTCAACACGAAAAATCGAGCAATTAAAATGGTGGGAGATTATTTGCGCACGCCCATTAATTCCACAGACAGACAGAATTTGCGAAGGTAAGTTTTATTTAATAAACATTGAAGCGTCTATTCAAATAAAAGATCACCTTTCATATTTAAATTCCAAAAGTTGTCAATTGAAAATTTGCAACTTTTAATTTCAAATCTAAGAAATCAAATCTCTTCAATTCAAATATTTCATTTAATCTGAATTTTGAGAGTTTTATTCCGGAATTAATTTAATTTAATTCATACTTTTGAAAATAATAATTTCCAAAATATATCACAGTATTGAGAAAATAAGTGATTTTTCATACTACAGTATATAACCCTCTTTTAGTGATGGGCATGACTAAACCATCAATCCGTATACAAATTCATGTAATTATTAAACACTTCGTTCAATGTCGTATAGGCATTCTCGAGCGTGCACCTCACGTGACTCTTTTCAAGAATAGCTCGATACGGCATTCCTTATCTTCCAATAGATACAATAACAACAAAATAACCAACAATCCTCCCCCATTTTGTCGTTATCCATGATTTATTCTCAAACTTTTCAATATACACAACAAGCTAATGCATAAATGAAAATATCATAACGGTAGACATTAAAAATTAAATGTCTAAATTAAATTAAATATCATGTATTTTGGAAGAAAATAAAATTCCAATAATATAAATATATGGTATTTAATTATGCATATATGTTAATTTTTGTACAATAAATATCAACCATTAATGCAAAAATATGCTTAAAATGGAAGATATCGTACAAATATTAAGTGCATAAATAGAGCCATAATAAATTTGGCAGCAAAATAAATTAATCTTGTCAATAAAGGAAGTATATAAATTAATATCTTCCAAAAAAGGCAATGATATGAAGATTTTGGCGAGAAAGGAAGGTGCACAATCCAATCCGTCAAGAATGGAAAACAGCATCCGATGAAAAATGAAAGATTATAAAATCTTTCCATCGACGTGGCACCATCCGAAAAGGAAGCCAAGGCCACCCTCCCCTATAAATAGGAGCCATGATCAGTTCATTTGAGACACTGAAGTTGCATCGAGGATTCAAGCAAACGGTAAGTCTCTAGACTCTCTTTGTATTGTTTTTCATGTTCTTCCTGTCCTTCGAAGCGTTTTTCGTCGAAAGTCACTAATTTGGACAAATGATCCAATATTGGTTGGCAAATCGATGGAGTTAACGTTCTTCATCGTATGTCCGAGCCGGAGGAAGGATCAAAGCTCTCAAAGCCATGGAGGAATCCATCAAAGCCAAGGAAGAGCCTCCAAAGCCGCTCTTCAAAGCTTCAAGATGTCCGTCGCGTTCTTCATAAAAGGCGCAAACCAGGCCCTCTTCGATCCAGAAGTCAAAGGGACACGCCGCCAAAAGCGTTATGAAGCACTAAATCCACCTCAAGGATCAAAGCTCCAAAAGCTATTGAAGTGTCCTTCAAAGCCAAGGAAGAGCATCCAAAGTTCATCCAAAAGCTTCGAGGTGTTCATCGCATTCTTCACCAAAGCAACAACTTGGCCCTCTTCGATCCAAAAGTCAAAGGGACACGCCGCCAAAAGTGTTACGGAGCACCAAATCTACCTCCTCAAAGATCAAAGTCCGGATCGTCGAAAGAAGACATCAAATCCAAAGCCGACGATCGAATCGCCTTTACGGAGACCAAAGCTCTCCAAAAGGCAGCAAGGCCAAACCAAAGATCAAAGCTATGGATCATCCAAATAAGACATCAAATCCAAAGCTGACGAGCGAATCGCCAATACGGAGACCAAAGTCCTCCAAAAGCGGCAAAGTCAAACCAAAGATCAAAGTCGCGGATCCAAAGAAGACAACAAATCCAAAGACGATGATCAAATCGCCAATGCGGAGACCAAATTTCCAAAAGGCGGCAAAGCCAAATCAAAGATCAAAGCCTCGGATCGTCTAAAAAAGACATCAAATCCAAAGCCGACGATCAAATCGCCCGCACGAAGACCAAAACCCTCCAAAAGCCGGCAAAGTCAAACTGAAGACCAAACCTCTTCGGATCAAAGAAGCCATCGAAAATCAAGTTGGAAAATAAATCGACCCAGAAGGAGAATCAAATGACCCATTTAGAGAATATGACCCGTTTTAAATTCAAATCAAATATAATTTGTACAAATTTTGTGTTTATTAAAAATAACACAATTTTTTGTCCACAATAACGATTGAATTTTCATCTTAGTACAATACACATTCCAAGCATTCGACAATCTAGGTGTCCCAAGGATTGAACCGGTCAACTTATAATGAATACATGAAGATAATCTACACAAAAGCTTCACTTTCCCAACAATTTACACTTGACACTTTACAAGCCATGTGTCTCAATTCATTCATGAACATATCGAAAGCCAAGTCCGTAGCATTTTTTGAAGCGGCAAAACTTCATGTTCGTATAGGTAATTCCTTTAATTTCGCCCCTGCACGACGATTTTTCAAATAAATTATTAAGAGGCTAAACCTCAACCTAACTCTCTTGCAAGTCCGAACACACTCTTTGGGATGAATAAATTACGTGTGTTCCAATCTTCTAAACGTGAGCTTTCCACATTGAATTCAGCTCCCAGCGCCACTAGAAGGGAATTGGGTGTCTCACGCTAAGACAATTTAATGGACTTTAACCATCTCGATAACATATTGTATGTCCGTTTCTTGGCCAATGGATCTGAGTGATTCCACTCTATAAAATTCGACATACAAAGCTTCAACTTCATGATAATTCAAACAGTACTAACGTTTTACAAATAATAAACAATAGCCTTACGCCTCACTGCGATTTGCCATCTTCATAAGCCATCAAAATGTTACTCCCAACTTTGTGGTGGTCAAAGTATTTTACGCACTCCACATTTAATTGCAGTCAAAATATATTTGACGATTCTTAAAATGTGCCCAAATAATCACTAATGTCCAATTCTCGTAAAAGAATTGCGAACCAACCCTTTCACATATTAATTTATACAAAATTAATTTTAACGACACCAAAATTTATTCCATGTGTTTTGAAAAACACATCAATTAATTTAGTCAAATTGATTACATGACAATTTGGTAAAACAAATATAAGTTTAATTTATAATATTCATACATACATATATATATATATATAATATTGAACCATTGGAATAGTAATTCCATACTCAAAGGATTATTATATCCTTTTTTCAATATTTTTCAATATTATTCAATAATTCTCATCTAAATTTTAATTTGAGAATTATATTCACCTCCCCCGTATCCTTGGTACTGAAACTTGGAAGAAATAAATATTTTAATTATATTCCCTTCCATGGAGTTGTTTTTTCTTTCACAAACTACCATAAAATTCTAGGAAAAGATAATTGAATACAAGGTCGTTTCCCAATGCCGTTCTACTTCTTCCAATCTGCCCTGCCATGGGCTGCCTTTTTTTTTTTAATCGTTAGATGATCGATGATCAATTGCACGGCAGACAAGCCAAAATATATTGCCGGCTGCCTCCCCCAACTGAATAAAATAATGTCTGCATTCTTTTCGAGATGCAAATTTTTATTCTCTTAAATAAAAATTCTGAACCTACATCGATTCATTTTTCAAAATTTAAAAATCAATTCTATCGATTTGATCATTGGAAATAATAGATTCCAATATCCTCAAATTTGGACATCTTTCCAAATTTTATTTTCATATCCGCCAAAGTATCCCATCCATGACCGTTCGAAATTATCATATAAGATTGTTGGAGAAATAATCTAGATTGAATGAAAATAAGAACAAATCGAATTCTGAAAGGTATACACGATCTTGGATATAGAGTAGATTCACTTTCCTTATACGATTTTGCGAACCTATTAACGCCCGAGGATAAAACAAAGCAACGCTCAAATTTTAGGCGAAAAATCGAGCAAGTAAAATGTTGGGAGATTATTTGCGCCCGCAGATTAATTCTGCAGACAAAAGTCTCCATAGTCTTTATTCTTCTGTCTGATAGAATTTGTGAAGATAAGTTTTATCTACTTTTGAAAATAATAATTTCCAAAATATATCACAGTATTTAGAAAATAAGTGATTTTTCGTACTATAGTATATAACCCTTTTTAGTCATGGGCATGACTAAACCATTAATCCGTATACAAATTCATGTAATTATTAAACACTTCGTTCAATGTCGTATAGACATTCTCGAGCGTGCACCCCACGCGCACGCGACCCTTCCCGAGAATAGCTCGATACAATATTCCTTATATTCCGATAAATCCAATAACAACAAATAACCAACAGTTTTTATTGAGAACTGATTGCAAAGTTGCAAAAGAAATTTACAAAAAAAGTTCAAATTTTAGGAGGGTGTATTCATTTGAAGTTTTATTGAATTTTTTAATTTAAAAAAGTCTATATATATGGATTTAGAAAGTTACAAGTTAAAGCCGAGTTTGATAGATTTTTATTAATTGATTTGAATGGATTTTTATAGATTTGATATTATTTTTTTATAGTTGTATATGGAATTTGTAGGATTGTAAAATATTTTTTTTTATTTTTTTATATAATTATATAAACTTATATAAAGACAAGTTTTACAAATATAATATATTTATTATATATTAATATATTTTTATAAAATATAGGTAATATTAATAAATAATATATAATTATTAATGATATAGAAATATTGTAACATATATAATACTACTATTTAATAATTTTAATTTCATTATAAATAATTTGGACAAAAATACGACAGTGTTCACTAAAACATGATTGTGTGTAAATAGCCAGCAACAACAAGGACATTGTAGAAGGTTAAATCGAAGATGAAGAGAAGAATGAAAAAAATGATTTTCATTCATACCGGAAATGAACATAACATAGTATATCACTACATGAAAATATCATTTTTGTAACGAGATTTTTCCGTCTTTAAATTCACTTTTTTTCTGTTACAAATGATATTAGAGATGGAATTAACGATAGAATTACGTTAGCTACGTGATCTTTAGTGACAGAATTCCGTTATAAATATACTATTTATTTTGTAGTGTATATACAAGGAAGATGCGCAAGCGCACAACATAAAACAACTTTATAAATATAAAAACACGGTTTAACAAATGTATTAGCCAATTCCACTTTGTACTGTTGCTGCTTCAGCATCTTGTACCACTGCTGCTTCAACACCGGTGTTGATTTTCTTATATTAATACCAATGTAGCTGAATTCTTCGATTCTATATCTATAATTATAGATACTTCTGCAACTTAAGACCTCCCAAATTGAATTGAATTGAATTGAGCAGCTACAGAGACATTATTTCAAAGGTAATCCAAAAACACCATTGAATTGTCCATAGCACATTCACCCGAGGATGTCTGTAATCTTTCATCTTAATCAAGCTACAGATGATGCACTGACACATTATTTTTGCAGTCTTACTGAATGTGTAGTGTGTACAGTTCAAAAAGAGTAAAATAAAGACAAGGTAAACAAAAAAAATGCATAAACATCAATCAAACCTAATTACCAATGTAAGACATGAAAATAATCAATCGAACCTATTTACTTTTAGGACTAAAGTCGTTAATATCTTTCTGCTGCTTGAAATAGAAGCTTCTATAGTCAAGAGGTTTGGGGTAGCTCTTCGCATTAATCTCTTTCCGAACAATATTCAATTTGGCATGGCAATTTGTCCATTCAATCAATCTCTGCTTCAACCGATTTAACATAATCGGTAGTGAAAAGTCAACACTCTTTATTGATCTCTCGAGTACTTCAAACCCGTGTTCACCATATAAAAGCTCAATGCACCGTAGATCTTGAGCTGAAAAATAAAAGTTTAGAGCCATCAACTTCGAAACATGATAAATACTACAAAACTAATTATCAAGAACTCAATATACCTTTTAAATGATCTTCAATACGGAATCAATCATCTAATTTAATTTTTATGACTTTCAATATTGTTCAACAGTCTCTCAACACGATTAGCTGCTGTCTTGGCTGATTCCATCAACACATCCAATTCAAACCTAAAATCATAATCAGATCAACAATAGTCGTATCAATATATATATATATCGTGAAAGCATGTTAGGAATGCGTAGAACAAGGTTTAAAGTTTCAAAGAGAGTTGTGTTTTTTACCTCGCATCTTCACATTTAAACAAGTTTTTCTTCGTAGGGATTTTTGAGCATGTGTTTGGAAGAATAATCCTTACTTTCTTCTGAAGCAACACACATCCAATTATCATTCAAAACCTCATCGCCAATCTTTGTTCTTTCACGTAGGGATCACAATCTGTTTTTATTCAAATTAGAATGCAATTAGTAAAATATCAATAATATCAAATAATTTTATTAAATTTTATAAGTAAGTACACCTACATCGCGAGGTAGAAGTCGATAACTTGGAGTGCAACTTTAATAATTGGAGGAATCTCTACCCTCCCCATATGGGATGGTATTCCTATAAGGCCGTGGAAGCTCAACACTTGCCGTCCCCAAAAGACAGGGTAAAAAATGAGCAAACTCTATAATAAATTCAACATAGTCCGCGAAAAGAACTGAGATCTACAAAAAAAAAAATATTACTCGGTATCAACTGTCAAATTTCATTCCTTCTATAAACCGAGACATTATCAAAGAAAAAGATGGCATAGGAGCATACTTCACTATAAACCTCCTTTGCGGACTTTCTGCCCATTTTGTACATATCTAAAAGGTCAATGATAGCTTTGTACACATCATCATCATCACGATCTTGACATGTGGCCTGCGCATAAATTGTTATAAGTATCAATCAATGAAGATCGACTATGGTAGAATTGACGAGGGAATGAGTGCTCGAGTTTTATGCAGTTGCACTGTACCTTGATTTTTTCTACAAATTCGACTGCTTCATTGAATTCGACTGCCTTTTTTCTCAGAAATGGCTCGATTCGTGTCGGGTTCGTGTCGGGTTGAATATTTTAAACGGGTTAAATTACTAAACCCTAATCCAACTCGTTTATTATCGTTATCCAACTCGTTTATTATCGTGTCGGGTTCGTGTTGACCCGTTTATTATCGTGTCAGGTTCGAGTTGACTCATGTTGACCCGTATACATAATTAAGTCGAATTTCTTGATTCAAATTAAATAATTTTTTGTTGTGTTGTCGTGTTACGTTACTTTTTATTAATTTGAGTGTAAATTAGGTTGAATTATTTAAAATTGAATTTAGTTTAAACTAATTTATGAAAAAATTAATAAATTATGATTATTTTACATATATAATAAATATATTAATCAATATTAATATATTATAATCAGGTTGTCGTGTCGAGTTGAGAGTCTCAACCCTAATCCGACCCGTTTATTATCGTGTCGGGTTCGTGTCAACCCGTATATATAATTGGGTTGAAATCTTTGACCCAAACCCAATTATTTCATGTCGGTTATCGTGTCGGATCAGTTTTTGTCAGCTTTAGTTGTGCTTATTGAATAATAAAAATATAATTTTACCGTTTATACTTTAAAATGATACTAACATGGATCAAACCACAAATGTACGGTGGCCATGGCCATAGACAGATGAAAAAAAAAAGTGTACCAAGAAAAAACTAAAATCACTCAAACAAAACTGAACAAAATCATGTACTCTCCTACTCTAATAATATGATATTGGAATTCGAAATTGAGGTTGTCTATTTCATAATCCTTTAATAAAAGAAAGTGAAAACTTAAAAAATACAGTTGCTACTATTTTCTCTTATCAGCCAATGCCTTGTGCAGTATTTCCAATATTACTTGCCTTTACATCACTCCTGCAAGCAAAACCTAGACAACCATCTTAGTTGAGCTTACCACAATTCAGGAGAAAAAGAGGGGGACACAAGCTTTTTGTGAAGATATTAGCAACCTGGACAACAGTTCCAATAGAAGTAGGGAGAATGAAACTTGACTGATAGTGCTCAAGAATAAAATGACGAGAGATATCTATGTGCTTCGTTCGCTCGTGGTGAATCGGGTTGCACACTAACTTTATGGCAGATTCATTGCCGCACTACAAATGAATGGGATGAGGAACCGAGATATGGAGTGAATCAAGAATATAATGATTCCAAAGGAGTTCCGAGGTTGCTGCGGCAATACTTCGATATTCTGCTTCGATAGATGATTTAGACACAGCCTGCTGCTTCTTAGTTTTCCATGCAATCATGGCTCCAACAAGAAAAACACAATATCCATTTAATGAACGATGAGTGTCAAAGACAATTCCCCCAATTGGAGTCACAATAATTAGTAAGCTCCAAAGGGCTGTTAGCTGAAAAAAAAAAAAGAAAAGACCAAGCGACCAAGTCTTGCGTGAGTACTAAAGGAGGCAGTGAGCCAATGGTGTTCCGTCGGTGCATGTATGAATTGACTGACTCACTGCACCGCAGAACTTAAATCTGAGCAAGAAAATCCAAATAAATCAACTTTCTAACCAACTTTTGGAAGAGATTCGGTTGGCTAAAAAGAACTCCATCCCGGTGCAACGGCTTTATAGTGCCAAGAGGAGTGTGAGCACGACAATTTTGAGAAACCTGAAATTCTTCAAGGAGATCATGAGTAAATTTGGATTGAGAAACACGAATTCTATCATTACCTTGTCGTAATTCAAGACCCAAGTAGTAGGAAACAACTCCAAGATCTTTTATAGCGAAGTGCTAAGGAGTGCTAACTTTATATCAATAATTATTTGTTCATCTTTCCCTGTAATCAGAATGTCATCAACGTAAACCACCAAGATAACTGGACCTAAATCAGTGAACTCTACAAAGAGACAATGATCGAATGAAAGTTGTTGCAGTCGCAAGGATAGAAGAAAAGCAGTGAGGATAGCATTCCACTGCCTCGGGGCCTGTTTGAGGCCATAAATAGACTTCTTAAGTCAATAGACCTCATCAGAATGTGCAACAATTTAGGTGGGTAGGGCATGTAAATTTCTTCAGTGATATCCCCATGAAGAAAAGCATTATTCACATGTAATTGGTGTAAGTGATCACTGCAAGGAAGCAACCAATGCAAGAATTAATCAAACTGAAACCTATTTCACAACAAGAGCAAAGGATTCATAATAATCTTTTCCAAACTTTTGGTGATATCCATTGGCTACAAGACGAGCTTTGTACTTGAGAATGGAGCCATCGGGATTATATTTCACCCAAAAAATCCATCAACACCTAATAGGTTTCTTGGAATGAGGCAAAGTGACCAAATCTCACGTACCATTATGGGCCATAGCATCAACTTCCTCGGCCATGGCTGAAGTCCACGCCTGAGATTTACTAGCCTCTCTAACGAAGGCTGACAGTTGCACCTCCTGAGTTGTGCACATAGAGTCTCGAAATCTAGCAGGCATTTTTCTTAATCTGTGCGGTCTGGTCTGGTGGGCTTTAACATATCGGAGATGGAAATAGGAGTTGAAAGAGTTGCAGTAGAGGCTGGAGAGGAAATAGATGGAGAAGAGTGGAGCTAGGAATTAAAGACATAAGAAGAATTTGAAGCTATGTCAGAGACATTAGATTTTTGTAAAGCAAATATAGAAGAGAGGGAGTCATTAATATCAATATTGGATAAAATTATTTACTCTAACACAGAAGTAGATGGAGTAGGGGGCAAACACCGGACGAAAAACCAAGTATGGAGTCGGAGAACACCACATTTCTAGTTAAATTACTAATATTTCTTACTTATTGTTTGTTTGATTAGAAATTTGAAAGTTGGATTAGAATTTTGAATAATAAAAATTAAAATAATTATTTAATATAATATAAATAGTTATTTATGTAATATTTAAAATTTTAAATTAATTTTTAATATAATATAAAAAATATAATATTTGGTTTGGTATTTTATGATCAAAAAATTTGTTAATAGTGTAATTTGAATTTTTTTTTGTTAAAAAAGATAAAAAAAAAAAAAAAAACAAAACTCATTTGTCACCCAAAATTATAATTTTTTTTAATTTTAATTTTAGTATTTCGGTATAAAATATCATATTTTGATATCGTATATGCAATTCAATTAGAGTTGGTTCGGTTCGGTATACGAAAAATACAAGATTATACCATACCAAATTTTTTAGTTTGTTTATCGATACCGTACCAAAAATTCGATATATAACAAAATATCAAAAAAAATATTTTATCTTCTGAATATACTAAAAATATCAAAGTGTAAGTTGTTACAATACCAAAAAAATTCGGTACGGTATCATATCATACCGAAAATTTGATATTTTGGTATTTTTTATACTGTATGCCTACTATTTCGATAATTCGGTACTTCTTCATCCATAAATTCGGTATACCAAATTATTGATATGGAATCTGATTGATAAAATATCAACCAAAATTTTTGATACTGTATACAATATGCTGTACAAATTTTGGTATGCCATAACGAACCATTCCTACCAATAACCAAATTCAAAAAAATTGATATATTATTTATTATTATTATTATTTTAATTGTGATTTTATATCGTGTTAATCACATTTAAAATATTAAAGTCAATTTATTTTTTATTATCTACTTGCACAATTTACAATAGATACAAATTTTTTTTTTAAAAAAATTCAGTATATAAAATATTTAATATTAAAAACTTAGAATATAAAATATTTTAACATTTATTTTATTATTTTATCAAATAAAATTATTTAAAATAATATTTTATTACGAATATTACATCATCTAATGAAACTAATTAACTACATAATGCAATATTTCTTAATATGCATGCCAAAAAGAAATGGACCGATTTCGTGAGACAGTGGGAATATATATATATATATTTAAACATAATTAATATAAATTAATTAATTAGGTAAAAATTAAAAATTTAAATGTATATAAATATTTTTATTTATTATTATTATATATATACAAATAAAAAATTCTTAATGGACAAAGAGAATGTCTTTTTTTATATATATAGATAGAATTGAAGGTAAATTAAATTGTTCAATAGATTGTAAAAATATATTGTAAAAGTGAGGATTGATAAGCAAACTTTATTTATTTATACATTAATTGGTGTTATATAATATTTATATATATTCTTTTTTTAATAAATACGATCCTATAATTCCTTACAAATATTTTCTCTTAAAATGATTTTAATTCTTTGTTTTTTTAAAATTTCCCTCCTATTCCTAATGTTGATTAATTTATTGATATAGAGAAAGTGTTTAGGATGCCTCTTGAATGTTTTAGCATTTCATTTTCTGTTGGTCTCAAACTCACTGCAATATTTTTAAATTTAAAAATAATTAATTATATATAAAAAGTTAAATATGTATTTTTCTTTCCAATCACATTATCTAATTTCTAAATTATTTCAAATTACACTACTTAATATTATCCACTTAATTATCGTGCCGAACTCAAATGTTGCGTGATATTTGGGACGAAGAGAATAACATATAATAGAATTATAGAGAAAAATAATTAAATAGAGAATGAGAATTAATTCTTTTATTTAATCAAACAAATAATTCAATTAAAAAATATAAAAAAAAAATAGCGATTTGAATTAATTAAGTGAATTAGCAAGTGAGAATCTATAAATAAAAATATTTTTAATTATTTTTTTAAAAATTAAATTAAGTACATTATTTTTTTTTAAAATATATTAGTATCTTTATAAAAAGTAAAAAATTAAATAATTGAATAATAAATTAGATATGATACTTTTGTAATATTAAAATATTGTATATATGAAAAAAATGAAAATAAAGAAACAAAAATTTTATTTAATTTTCAAATTTATTATTATTTTTTTTTAGTAAAACAAACAAAAAAATGAAATATTTTTATTCAACTCTTTATTTTTGTGTACCAAATACCTCATACAGTTAATTGTTAAAACAAAAAGTCATTTAGAGAGCCAAGAGTTTCTAGAAAAACAACCGGCAAGTAAGTTGATCAACATATGTAATAAAATTATATCATATATTATCTGTAGCACACCATATTTATAACACAGTATATATTTCGTCGTAACATCTGAAAACCATGGTATTGTATTTATTTATATATTGAAAGGCTAGTAAGAAATATACTATCTCAACAACCAGCTTCTATTTTTACATCTAAATAAAACAACCAAGGAATGTATTTACTTGAGACATCTTAGAATGATTTTCTTTTTCTATTTTTTTTCTAAAAAAATATCAAATTAAAATATTTACTTTTTATTTATAAACACTAAAATTTAATTCATTCCAAATTTTTACTATTCAAAATCAAAATCCAATACGACAACCTCACAAAAGAAACACACAAGTATTTTATTTTACCATCAAAGGTGAAATACCATACCAAATCAAGTGACAACAATAGCGCCTTAGAATTTGAATAATTCTAAAATAAAAATCACTGCAAACTTGAAATTAACACGTGAACTTTTTGCAATCTGACCACACGTACATTCCCAAAATAAACTACATACACATACATATACATCTATATAAATCGACGTCGCCAACTCAAGCTTGTTTGATTATTGATTACATTAACGATGCACAATACTATTACATTATTGCTTAATGCCCAATGCACGAGAGAGACAAGTTCAACCACTTCAATTGAGTAACTAGGAGACATTATTCAAAAAGTAGTCCAGAAAAACCAAGGAGTGATGTTGGCCGGCGGTAGAAACTTCGACAGGTAGAGATTTTGGCGACAGATGTACTCAAACTTGACCCATTCCATTCTTTAAGTTAATCAATGACTGATTTTGTCACTATCTAAACTTGGGTACAAATTTTTCTAATTAGTGTTTGTTTTTGCATAGTCGTACAATTCAAAAGAGCAAAATAAAACACAAAACATCACGTACAATGATGACAGAGGTAGCAAATAAATGATCAATAAACCAATGTACGACATGAAAATAATCAATCGAACCTATTTACCTTTAGGACTAACGTCGTTAATATCTGCCTGCTGCTTATACAAGCTCCTATAGTCAAGGGATTTGGGGTAGTTCTTTGCATTAATCTCTCTCCAAACAGTATCCAATTTGGCATGGCAATTGGTCCATTCAATCAATTTCTGCTTCAACCGACTTAACATAATCGGCAGTGAAAATTCAACACTCTTTATTGATCTCTCAAGTACTTCAAGCCCGTGTTCACCGTATAAACGCTCAATGTACCGAAGATCTTGAGCTGAAAAATAAAAGTTGAGAGCCATCAACTTCGAAATATGATAAATACTACAAAACTAACTAACAGGAACTCAATATACCTTTTAAATGATCTTCAATGCGGAATGAATCATCTAATTTAATTTTATGACTTTCAATATTGCTCAACAGTCTCTCAATACGATGAGATGCTGCCTTGGCTGATTCCATCAGCACATCCAATTCAAACCTAATATCATAATCAAATCAACAATAGTCGCATCAATATATATCTCGTGAAAGCAGGTTAGGAATGCGTAGAACAAAGTTTAAAGTTACAAGAGAGTTGTGTTTTTTACCTCTCATCCTCACATTTAAATAAGTTTTCTTCATATGGATTTTTGAGCATGTGTTTGGAGGAATAATCCTTATTTTCTTCCGAAGCAACACATATCCAATTGTCATTCAAAACCTCATCGCCAATCTTTGTTCTTTCACTTGGTGTAGGGATCATAGTCTGTTTTTATTCAAATTAGAATGTAATTAGAAAATATCAATAATATCAAATAATTTTGTTAAATTTTATAAAAAGTACACCTACATTGGGAGACAGAAGTCGATAACTTGGAGTGCAGCTTTCATAATTGGAGGGACTTCCACCATCCCCGAATGGGATGGTATTCCTGTAAGGCTGTGGAAGCTCAACACTTTCCGTCCCCCAAAGACAAGGTAAAAAATGAGCAAACTCTATAATAAATTCAACATAGTCCGCGAAAAGAACTGAAATCTACCAAAAAAAAAAAAAAAACATTACTCGGTATCAACTGTCAAATTTCATTCCTTCTATAAACCGAGATATTATCAAAGAAAAAGATGGCATAGGAGCATACTTGACTATAAACCTCCTTTGCAGACTTTCTGCCCATTTTGTACATATCTAAAAGGTCAATGAAAGCTTTATACACATCATCATCATCGTGATCTTGACATGTGGCCTGCGCATAAATTGTTACAAGTATCAATCAATGAAGATCGACTATGGTAGAATTGACAAGGGAATGAGTAATTGAGTTTTATACGGCTGCGCTGTACCTTGATTCTTTCGACAAATTCGACTGCTTCATTAAATTCTACTGCTTTTTTTCTCAGAAATGATTCTTCCTCAGGTGGGAGATCGATTTGAGCTTCCTTCGGCAAAAAGACATTTAAACCCAACGTTAGGTCCCAGTGACCTTCAAATAACTCTTTGGCTTTCAAAACAACATCAGCCCCAACGATTCTACGGAAACCAAATATGCAAACATATTATTAGTATTACATCGAAGCTAATGAAAAATAATAAGAGAATAGACCAAAAACCTACTTTTGTACCCTGAAATCTCTCAATACTTTGATAAATTCATCGAATTTATCCTCTCTACCACGAAAAACTTTTTCAACCGTTTGTAGATAGTTAATGGCATCCTCCCTTCCCAGAAATTCCCCAGCCTGGCTGGTAATTGACGTCCTGTAAATTGATTAAACAACACAATTATCTGCCTATAAAAATACCAGGACATGAAAAGGTAACTTCCATTGCAAGTCTCGCATTTGATAAAAGAGGTTAATCATCATAACAGATCATCGACAGGAGTTATCTCATACTATTGTTGAGTATATCTCACATTGGAAAAATGTGTGGGATCTCCCTAGTATATAAGGTGAAGGCCACTCCACCTATCACCAATTTGGTTTGAGTTTGGGCCCGAAGCCTTTCTTAACAACTATAACATTGATCTTGTTGATCGCCCAACAACCAGTAAGTAAAATTGTTAAAGAACTAGGTATTAGTGGTTTCTACTTCAAACCAAAAGCAGCCACGCCACGCGATTGCCAATAAAAATTCTGTATAAAAACACTCGATTTCCTCTAAAAAAGAACATGAAATCAAAATTCCTATTAAATCAGAACTCAAATAAAAGAATCAATTTCAAATCAAATCAATTGAAAAAACACTTACGGCGGAGCGGGGTGGTCGAGTTGAGAAGTCATAGGGAACGGAGGAACATCACCCATATCCATGATCAGAGATAGTACAAAATAACGAAGCCAAGAAGAGAAGCCCTCAATGGCAATGGCAGAACAGCAGCAGCAGCAGTAGTTGGTTGTTCTTCTATTTCAAAAAATAAAAATCGCGCGCCAATGAGAGCGTGTTTCTTCGGCTTGATTTTCTCAAACGTTACTAGGGACGGACTCCTTCATTTACACTGAAACCCTATCAGACGGTCTGGGACATCACGCGGAGGCAAATTCCCAGCCATTTTCTGAAATTTGTAGGAGAAAATTCAGGGAAAGAGGATCACGAAGAAGAAGAAAAAAGAAGGGAGAAAACAGTAAGAAGCAGAGATGGAGAAAGAAGAAAAAAAAAGAGTGAGAAGAAACGAAGACGACGCGGTGGCAATTATTAATCTAAATTCAATCTATTTAACTTAATGCAATTATTAAATATCAAATCAATATCTATCAAAATCTTATTAAATCTAAATCAAATCTATTAATGTAAACAAATATTAATCTAAAAAAATCACATCTTCTCAAAATTTAGAAAAAAAAAATTAAATTAAATTGAAGACAAATCTAAATCAAATCTATCCAAACTAATTCATAAAAAGTGTGTTCGATTGCTGGATTTGAATTAATATTTATTGTATAATTGCTGTGCAAATTTAAAAATCAAAATTCAAACCCTACTAACCTACAGGATAGGTTGAAGATAGCTGCAGAGATTCTCTGCAAAGCAATCCATCAAGTCCATTCACGTGATTGAAGATACAAGCTGATAGGTGGTAGGTGAGGTAATATATACATAACATCGGTACTTGGCATTTCGATTGTAGATTTGCAGGTAAAAACACACCCAAGTATTTTACCTTAACCATTTGAGGTGAAGTAATGATCCAATGGGCAACTTCTACCATACCAAATGAAGTGACAATAACGACCCTTTAGAATCTGAATAATTCTAACATAAAAATCACCACAAACTTGAAATTAACACGTGAATTTCTTGCAATCTGATCATACATACAATCCCAATATAAACTATACACACATATATATACGTATATATAAATCAACGTCACCAACTCAAGCTTAATGTTCAATGCACCAAAAAGACAAGATTAACCACGGGCTTAGCTAACTGTCCTCAACCCTAATTCAATTGAGCTAGCTAGGAGACATTATTCAAAAAGTAGTTCAAAAACACCATTGAATAGTCATTCTCCCGAAGATGGGATCCTTTCATCTTAGTCAAACTACAGATAAGACAGTGACACATGATAGTTAAAACTCGACCAATGGTAGAAACTTCGACGGGTAGAGATTTTTGCAACGAATTTACTCAAACTTGGCCCATCCCATATCTTAAAACTTTTCACTATCTAAACCTAGGTATAAATTTTTCTAATTAGTGTTTATTTTTGCAGTCTTGCTGAATGTATAGTGTGTACAGTTCAAAAGAACAAAATAAAGACAAGGAAAAAAAATGCATAAACATCAATATTTACCTTTAGGACCGAAGTCGTTAAGGGAAAGTTACACTAGGCGAATCAGGAATGGCAGGTGACCTGAAGCGTCGGGGATTTGAACGTCATGAATCCAACTCCTACACTACCGGACCATCCCTTACAGGACTATTTCATTGAATGAATATTTATTTTTTTTTAAAAAAAAATTCAAATCAATTTGACTTGAAATCACTTTAAATAATAATCTAATAAATAATTTTTTGATATTGTTATTATTTAATCAGTAAATTAAATATAATATCTTAAAATAAAAATAATACATTCTTTAAAAAATTATAAATATTAAATAAAAAAAAATACAAATAAACAGAACCCTTTAAATTTTATAGAAACTAATTAATAATAACAACATTTAATGCAAAAGAAAATAAATAATGAATTGAATTAGGTAATAAGTGAAAATGATTAAAATTATGCTAATAATTATTATTTTCACTTTCTGCATCAATCCCCACTTATTTATAGGTAAGGATACTCAAGGCATACGAGACCTGCTACCATAAAATATTTTTTAGTAAGTATATTAATTATTTTCAGAAAAATACTACTACCACTTACTGTATTATTACATAAAAAGATTCTTTATAAAGGGAAGGGCAGAGATGTAATTTCACAAAGTATTTATAAGAAATAGACGGCAACAGACAAACGAGATACCTCCTAATAAATAAGCTTATTCCAGACCACGGTGCGCAAGGCTTTAGCGCCCGTTAATGAAATCAAACTACCATCGAATCATCGATACGTTTGCAGCAGGAGCAACAGCCAGAAAAGGAATCCCGCCCGAAACCCAAAATCGTCAAAAACCATTAATGGTGAGAATCCACGGATTTGAAGTCCAAGAATTATCAAAATTTCACCCAATGAGGCAAAATCCGGTGGGGTTTTAACTTTTAAGAGGGGTGGGTGGGTGGTTCTGCCTGCCTGCATGGACGACATTCTGCAAAAGTCCCCTAATTTACTCGTCCGTTACTGACTGACTGACGTCATTGCCACCATTAGCATTAGCTAGCTGTTGCCGACTCACTCTGCTTTTCATATAATCGGGGCTGGTCTGGTCTGAGGAGGAGGAGCTGCATTGTCTAGAGGGAAAAGAGTTCAAAACAAACTTAAGGGGATTCAGTTCAGTGGTGGTTTTCTCTGGAATTGCTTCGCCCTTTCTTTCTATATTTCAACAGGTGGATTCAGAGAATGCAGGTTTATACTCGTGATGAAGTTTACAATCCAAAATTCAGGAAAGTGTTTGAAGAGCATTTGGTGGCTGTTGCCAGCAAGTTTGTCAGGCCTCTTCCTTCATCCACCCTCCAATTGAAACAGCTCCTTGTGGTATATATAAAAAAAAAATGTTTCACTTTGTTTTGATTAATAATGATCGTTGTGTTGGGTGTGCTTTATTGTATGTGTGTTGATTGAGAAAGTGATCACTTTGTTTTGAGCGTTTTGGAGAATTCTTGGATTTTGTGTACATAGATGGCTATTGTTTGCGCAAAGGATCCTTCAAAAATATGACCCTGTGAAATCTAAAATTTTTTTGAAGATGCGATTGTAGGCTCCTTTTTTACGGACATTTTTCATATTTGATTAAAATCATTGCGTATTGGCATCTTTGGATGGTGTCTTGTATGTGTGTGGGGGTTCAGGTGTTCAAAGCACACGTCGTGTCTTGTATTGATTCTGGACTACATCATGTGGAGCAAAGGTTGGATTTGGTAGATGGCAGACAAATCAGCGGATTTGGTGTCTGATTTTTGGATCTTGGATGAGTTTTGTGGAATTGCTAGCCTAAGAATGTGTTTAATCATATGTGAACTGAGAAACAAGCATAAACTTAATGCTGGGAGATGTTTTCATTATGTTTTGGGGTTAAGATTTAAAAAATTAAACAAACAGATAAATAAAATGAATATAGATGTTTTCATTATGTTTGGGTGTTAAGATTTAAAAAATTAAACAAACAGACTAATAAAATGAATATGATGTGTGTTCGATGCTATTTGATATGAACTGTTTTGGTTTTGATCTCTCAGCAAGTGGAGGAGACGGTGAGATATGTATGGCAAGGTGCACCAGAGTCTACAAAGGAGATTCTTGCTCCAATAAAGGAATTGCTGCTGGTGGATGAATTGTTCCAGCATACAGATGCTCAGATCAAAATGATGCACGCATCTATTATGAACGAGGTCTCCAAGATAGCTCTTCCTGAAGCCCCGTACTCTGAAGATATAATGAAAGTAAGAAGTCTTTCAAACCACCATTGTAAAAACCTTACTCTTTAGATACTCGACTGACTATATTGTGGTTTGTGGTGACAGAAAATCTTCCAGTTATTCATGGTGGCATTGAAGGACCTTGCCTCCGGTGTAACTGAAACAACCGGACATCTTCTGAACAACAGTTCAAGAGCTCGGAGGATTCTTGATGTCATGGCAAGTTGTAAAACATGCCTGATATTGCTGGACATAGAATGCGATCAAATGGTCGTGGATATGTTCCAGCTTTTTTTCGACATTGTTAGGTATGTTTGCGATAAGTAGTCTTTGCTTTGACTTCCCTGAAATGTTCCGGTTTCATGTATTCTCTCATTACTCATCATATACCACTGATTTCCAAATACTATTATAGGTGTTGGAAGTATAAAATTAATGTGGTTATAACATCCACTTGATCTTACTTACTAATTTGGGTTTTGTGATGTTGAAGGCCGGATCATCCTTCCGATGTATTTGAAAACATGGCAACGGTCATGTCAGTGATGATCAATGAAGCTGATTATGTCCTGGCAGATTGTGTAAAGATCCTGCTATCAAGTATCAAACTTGATAATAAGGTGATGAAACTCTCCTCAATCTTGTATTCTCTTTCACTGGTTTTTTTTTTTCAAATATTTTGCGTTTTGCTTTCCTTTCTTTTTACAATGTAAAATAATATATATATCTTCGGCTGCAGTACGCTTCACCCAGGGCTTGGGAGCTAGGAAAAACTGTGGTAGAAAAGTGTGCCACCAAACTCCAGCCTCATGTCAGAGAGGCTGTGAAAATGCTTAACTTGGAGGTTAAAGCTTATGCAGGCATAGTTTCTTCCCTCTGCCAAGATATGTCTGATGGTGAAAAATCGGTTCGTTCTCGTACATGAATCTTATGAAATTAGAATTTGCTTTATCTTGTTTTGGCATTGTTTCCAAGTCAATCTTAGAAATCAATATCTTGAATAATTTGACATATCAAATTGCATGAGAGTCATCGTATGTTTATGGGAGATGAAAAGATTGGTTGTAGCTATTCATAAGCTATTATCTTCTATGAAAAATACATACATACATACATATATATATATGCATACTTAATGTCAAAAACTTCTACTAATTTTATTTGAAAGTGTAATTATAGTGTTTACTTATAATATTATTGTTTTTGTGTTAGACATGTAATTGTGCACAGTAAGAATTTGTTTTTGTGCATGAATACATTAGATGGGAGTAGCTATGTTCGTATATGTAGGAAGTAATATTATCTTCGAAAAGAAGTTTTTTAAGACATTGGATTTCTGTTCACATACCATTGATGAGATATGTTATGATGAGTTATTATTATTTAATGTTGTTACTTCACATATGCGTGTCTGATGTCCATTTTAGTTTGGATATAGACACTATGAGAAAACTGATTGCGTGGTGTCAATATTATTTTAAAAAGAATCGAACCATCACTACAAGAAAAAATTATTTTTGTAACAAAACTTTTTTGTCTCTAAATCTACTTTGTAGTGCATGTATCTGAAATCTGTATGCATTTGTTAACTTTTATGAATTAATTAGTCATTGTGTTGTAATTTCTTACACAGTTAATCCGTATCGAGAATTTGATACGATCATTTAATCAAGACATGGGGGATTGAATAATTCCATCTTATCCCTTGTAGCAACCACCCCCTTAATGTACTAATTTAAAAATAATAGTTGTCTATTAAACCCAATAAACCCATATATCTTAATTGAAGTTCTACTAGGATATGTTTTTTCTACATGGAAACAATACATAATGATTCAATCAAGAGCATTATTTAGATTTGAGAGAAGCATCGAAGCTATTGATCGAATCAAATTGTTGGCTTCTACCATTTCATCTCCGACATGTTGTCTAAGACTAGAGTAGACAAGGTTTGCACAGGAATATTAAGAACATATGCTTCCTTGCTTTATCAAACCAAGTTAATTTCCCATGAATTAAACCAAGTGTGGGTATTATGTGGTAATAATTTTAAAATCACCAAGTTTACAATTATCACCTGTTTTCAATGTGGGTATTGATGGAAAAAATATGGTCAAGTCTCTGAGATGACGGATAATACAAAGATGGAATCCATTATCTTTCAATGGTGGTTTGGATGTGATGGTTTTTCAGAGGAAAGATTGTACTTTCATAAGGAATCTGTTGGGTTGCATAGTAGAAATATTATAAAACAAACAAACAAACAAAACGAAACACTTAAAAGAAAAATTTGTAGAATTATTATAAAATTACTTTATGGAGATGAATACTTTTGGAAAATTTGTTCTTTGAGGGGATTAACATCTTCATGTTGTCTAGAAGACAACTGATTTTTCTTTTTATTCTATTCATTATACATATTACGAGTTGAGGGCCATGTCTAGGATTTGCTCAATATTTTCTAGAATTTTGTCAATCATCTAAATACTAGTGATCATTTCTATAGTGAGCCATTTCCCCCGAAAAAAATAAATCAATTAAATGGGGTTTATGTAGTGGAAATTTTAAAATGGGTAAGATTACAATATACTTTATATATTGATTTGGGGAACAAATAACAATGTAGACCTATGATACATCATTCCAAAAGATATCCATTATTCACTACCTTTCAATTCACCTACAACAGGCATTCATACTTGTTTCCTCGTTATCTTTAAAGGATGTTTATTGTCATTGAGTGAAACCCGTCCTCAAAACTATTCTAAATGATGTCCTTCGATTGTGAGAGAAAATTTTCACAAAAGACCTTTTGTATCTAATATTCGGTCATCATTGATGGAGATGGATACTTTCGGGATTTAGATTTTTTATTTTAAGAAGATAAACATTGCGATGTTATCTACAGAACAATCCACTTCATCATTTATTGTAATTATCGCATATTGCTGAAAACTTTTAAGAATAATTAGAGACAATATCAAAGATTTGCTAAACATTTTCTACTATAATCTAAAACTAAATGTGCCTTTGTACACTGAGCCAATTTCCCAAGAAGAAAATCAATCAAGTGGTGTTTATGTCATGGTACCTGGTAAGTTTTAAAATGAGCACCATATAATTGTCATTTGATTTTTGAATGAAGGAACTCGTAAACTAAACATAGTGGATTGTTAGAACAAAATAAAAGTAATAAGATAATCAAACGATACCAATCATTTGCCTAAGGAACAATCAAACAGAATAAACCGTTTGCCCAAAAGTCACCGGGCTGCTATATTCCCAATATCAATAATAATGTTCTCCAAACCTTAGATAGTCTCTTTAAATACTAATAGTAAACCCTGCTTACTAAAAATAAAATATACCACTTAATAACTAAGAGCAGTCCCAAGTCAAATTATAATATGTTAATAGAAAATCAAATAAAGTCGTTGATATACAAGCAACGGCCGATACTCCACCTTCTCTTTAATCTTACTTTTATGTTCCTTTCGATCTTGCTCCTTATCCGGGCAATTGGCATGCATGCCATTGCCATTCTGTGGCAATTGATGCTCACTAGCACTGACTTCCTAAAAGTATTTCAGAATAGATTGTTCATGCTTATAGCTTCACCTCATCGTTCAGTGCAATGAAAGAATCGATTTTCTTATCCATGCTATTGCCAAGCCATATCACCACAATTTTTTCTAAGAGAATATTTGATCTATACTTTTAAGATTTCCAAAGCCAAAGCATTAATGAATGATGTAAAATTTGATATCATTTATGTTTGCAACTCAATATTCCTATGTAATATCAGACAATCTATAAGTATCATGTGTTTTTTGTATAAATGTTAGTCTATGCTATTTGCATAGTGGTGACGAACAACAATTCTTAAGTATCCTTTTCAGGAAAGTAATTTTGAACATTACTTCTTTTATCTTAATCCATAAAGGCAAATACATATACATACCTATGTATATGTTACTTTAAAATCGTAAAATAGAAATACATTTGAAGATGTTATGACCAGAACCAAACACAACTAAATTTGCGAACCCTCACGAAAAGATATAAAAATGAAAGGACACACACAGGGCTCACAAATAAGATACTCGTTGGAGATGGTTTCCGGATAAAACCACCAAGGATACTGTCACTCACAAAGAGGACACTTTCCCTCCCTCTGTATATGGTTTCTACATTTTCAACTCCTCACTCCCTCTCAACCCTGTACACTAATCCCGAGTTCCAAATTCTATATAGTTAACAAATGAATGGATAGGAATATAAGATGGAAAGTCTAAGAATTAGATTGGGCCGTAGTCGAATGGGCCAATTTTTAATAATCGAGGAATAAAATTTTGTATGAAAGCTAAAACTCATGCATGCCCTCATAATTTATTTGATTCACTTCACAGTTCCATTTTGCATTTTAGAAAATGGACATGGGAAATATTATATAAGGTTAGTTTTCTAAACTACAGGTACAACCTCCAAAAAAATAATAATAATAATACACATTTTCCAATTAATATTACCAAAATATACACACAATATATATAACAGGGCTGCGGATCCTGTGTTGATCCAGCCAAGTAAACATGGTGCTGATTTGACCAGATCGGCATATGTCGTACAATACCAGCATATATTTATACATAATACAACATATGCTGAGTTATAATATAATATATGATGAATTAGAATATAACATATATTGTATTATAAATATGTTGAGATATGTAAAAATAAATGTTGATTACCTATATAGTATTTGTTTATCCCGTCAAATCAGCACCATACTGACTTGATCGGATCAGCAGCTAATCCATGCCCATATAATATACATAATCTACCCACTAACAAAAAGTTAACACTGAACAAACACACTCTACGTCTGAAGTGCATCGAACAGAACTTTAAGATGAAAGTACCATAATGAAACATGGTTTTAATGCCATGATATTTTTGAAATCTCCTCAACTGAAATTTTAAGCAGATGTACTCATGTTTTCCTATCAACAATAAACATGCAATTTCATAATGTATTGATTTAAATAGATTATGTTGTTCAGTCAAACCCATACGTATTAGGGTGCCTGCAAATTGAGCTTTTTTTGAGTTTCACATATCAAAGCTTGACTTGAACATGTGAATTTGGAACACAAGTTCGGATCAACTCCTTTCTTTTGGATACTGATTGGCTCCATGAGCAGTTTATTACAGATGAGGAAACTTTAATTATATTTGTATGGCATTTTAAGGTAAGAGTTGAAATTATTATTTCCAATTCCCTATATATAGTTCCTCCAGCCAATAATCTTGTAGATTGATTGACTTGAGCTCACACTTGGCAATTTCTTGTTAAGCCAAGCTTAGACATTGTTTCTCTTGACTAATTAAACTCTAACATAGGGCTTTTATTTTGTTTAGTCTAAAACTCAATTATGGTTGTTTGAAACCTTGAAACTTTCGGTGATCAGGAATTTCGCTCAAAGAGAAAAAAGAGAAAATCTGTGCCATCCAACACAAGAGAGAGGAATTCAGGTAGTGCTGGCCGCAGTGCAGCCATTAGTGGCGGTGAGCCTGAGCGGGAAGATGAACAATTGCTGCACCTGAGTCGTGGGAGGGATGATGCTGTGAATAAGGTAACCAATATATATATATATATATTTAACACATCTTGTGCTTTCTTAAATGTATCCTTCTATATTATATTCACCTGTTTGCAACAATAATTACAGACGGAACAACCTTCTCATTCCGAGCCTGCAAGAGATGATCAGCCTCGGAGTTTGAATCCTAAAAACGAAAAAGTATAATTATGGTTTCCTTATAAACTAATAACCGAAATATACTTTGTGAGGCAAAGTCTAATCATTGTCTTGTAATATTCACTTCATTCCAGAATTTTGAAGGGGTGCGTGTGGAGGATTATGGGAAGGAATTAATTAATGCAAGAATTATGGTTTGGTGGCCGTTGGACAGAACGTAAGTTCAAGAAATGCATTGTATTAATTTAGTGTGCTTTATTTTCCATCAAATCAAGTAGAATCAATCCTCTTGTATTTTGTTGAATTGCGCATTTTTGTAGATTAGTACAACCACTAAAGGGCTTGTTGGTCAGATTCTGTTAGATACGCCTTTGTGTTGGATCTGTGGTTTATAGTATTTTTATTGTTCTACTTATAATCAAGCTTCTTTTGGTATAATTTGGTTACAATGAATTCTGAATTGTGTTTTTGTTTCTTCTTTCCTCAACTATCAGGAGTTGTTTCTCATCCTAGCTTGTACTTAAACACCATTATGAAAGCCAGAATGGATGTGAATTGCATGCATAGTTTGTGCAAATTTGGAACCAATGTCTCATTCAAAACTGTGTGTGCCTGCAGGTTTTACACCGGCACTGTCGTGTCGTATGATCCTGAACAGAAAAAGCACATGGTAAGTAATAATGCTCTTCCAAGGTTGTCCTACTTCTGTGTCGTCTTTCCCTGTGTGTTTTCATTTCCATATAATCCTAATTTTCCATAACTGCTGGAGATTTTGCGCTGCGCCAAAGTTCATAGTTCACCTGCCTGTCCTGACTGGTTTCTTTGATTTATTCTAGGTTCTCTACGATGATGACGATGAGGAGACGCTGGACCTAAAGAATGAAAGATGGGAATTCTTTAAAGAAAGACATTAAGCATTTTCTTGGCATCCTAAAGCTTTCTGGGAACTGCGTCCATTTTAGACGCAACAGGCTCCAGCCAACAACGCCCATGCCCCATCCTCTTGGGAACAGCCTACTAAGTAAAAAACCATGAACCTGAGCATATCTTTTCGGCATTCTTTTCTAGATAAAGATTTACATTAGCAATGTACCTCCATAGACTAAATAAAATCAATGCTTTGTGTAAGGAGCAGGATGCAGAAAACAGCAAGCAGGCAGAGAGGATGGCTGGCTGTTGGGAAGATCTTAATCACCCATAAGGCTGGGTTGGGTTCGATCTTGTCAGCAGGATTCCAATGCTGTCTTTTACTGCTTTGTGATGAACAACGTCTTGGCTGACTGCACAGTGACTCCGGCCACGAGATGAATAGTACTTATCCTAACATTATACTTTGCCAAACAAGTGGTTGGTGAGGTTCATTTTAATTCCTCACACAGCCTGTGCATAATTTTTTACAGAACTAACATTAGAACAGAGGCTCAGGCTTTATATACATGCACAAATGTATGTGTATGTATGTATGTGTGTAAATATGCGTTGGAAGAGAAGTCTCTGCCTAAGACATTTTGCTCGTTTGTTCTGCTCCGAAAAGACTAAAATTATAGATAATTATAGTCCTGATATCATATCATATATATAATTATAGCACTTAGTGTGGACCCTACTTTTCTAATGTTTGCAATCTTAGAATTTTGAGATTTTGTCGTTTCTTTTTATTGACTTGGATGGGACGTCAGGAAGCGTATCTTGGAGACCTTGTTCATAATAGATGCATGTATCATTATGATTTGTGCATTTGTATGCTTGAACAATTCATCCACCAGCAGCAATTCCTTACCTTGCCATACATATCTCACCGCCTCCTCCACTTGCTGAGAGATCAAAACCGAAACAGTTCATATCAAATAGCATCGAACACACATCATATTCATCTGTTTGTTTATTTTTTAGATCTGAACACCAAAACATAATGAAAACATCTCTCAGCATTAAGGTTTCTTGGTTCACATATGATTAAACACATTCTTAGGCAAGAAATTCCATAAAACTCATCCAAGATCCAAAAATCAGACACCAAATCCGCTGATTTGTCTACCGTCTACCACATCCAATCTTCGCTCCACACGATACATCCAAAATCAATACAAGACACGATGTGTGCTTTGAACACCTGAACCCCCACACATATACAAGACATCATCCAAAGATGCCAATACGCAATGATTTTAATCAAATATGAAACAGGAGCCTACAATCATATCTTCAAAAAATTTGGATTTCATAGTCATTTTTTTGAAGGATCATTTGCACAAACACTAGCCATCCAAGTACACAAAATCCAAGATTCTCCAAAACGCTCAAAACAAAGTGATCACTTTCTCAATCACAACACATACAATAAAGCACACCCAACACGACGATCATTATTAATCAAAACAAAGTGAAACTTTTTTTTATATATATACCACAAGAAGCTCTTTCAATTGGAGGGCGGATGAAGGAAGAGGCCTGACAAACTTGCTGGCAACAGCCACCAAATGCTCTTCAAACACTTTCCTGAATTTTGGATTGTAAACTTCATCACGAGTATAAACCTCCATTCTCTGAATCCACCTGTTGAAACAAAGAAAGGGCGAAGCAATTCCAGAGAAAACCACCACTGAACTGAATCCCCTTAATTTTGTTTTGAACTCTTTTCCCTCTAGACAATGCAGCTCCTCCTCCTCAACCAGACCAGCCCCGATTATATGTAAAGCAGAGTGAGTCAGCAACAGCTAGCTAATGCTAATGGTGGCGATGACATCAGTCAGTCAGTCAGTCAGTCAGTCAGTAACAGACGAGTAAATTAGGGGACTTTTGCAGAATGTCATCCATGCAGGCAGGCAGAACCACCCACCCATCTCTCTTAAAAGTTAAAACCCCAGTCGGATTTTGCCTCATTGGGTGAAATTTTGATAATTCTTTGACTTCAAATCCGTGGATTCTCACCATTAATGGTTTTTGATCTCTCAGCAAGTGGAGGAGGCGGTGATATGTGTATGGCAAGGTAAAGGAATTGCTGCTGGCGGATGAATTGTTCAAGCATACAGATGCTCAAATCATAATGATACATGCATCTATTATGAACAAGGTCTCCAAGAGAACGCTTCCTGACGCCCATACACTAAGTCAATAAAAAAGAAGCGACAAAATCTCAAAATTCTAAGATTACAAATATTAGAAAGGTGGTCCACACTAAGTGCTATAATAAGATATATGGTATGATTTGAAACATTTAATTAATTTACTTCAAATTAAATAGGACTATAAATATCTATAATTTTAGTCTTTTCAGAGCAGAGCAAACGAGCAAAATCTCTTCGGCAAAGCCTTCTCTTTGAACACATATTTACACACACATACATGTGTGCATATATATAAGCCTAAGCCTCTGTTCTAATGTAGTTCTGTCAAAAATTATGCACAGTTGCGTGAGGAATTAAAATGAACCTCCCCAACCACTAGAATGGACGCATGGGGTGCCGATTTCTTGTTTGGCAAAGTATAGTGTTAAGATAAGTACTATTCATCTCATCGCCGGAGTTACTGTAGTTTCGTTTATTTCACTGCTTCCCATCCCGTGCAGTCAGTCAAGAAGAAGTTATTCATCACACAGCAGTAAAAGACAGCATTCGAACTCTGCTGACATGATCGAACCCAACCCAGCCTTATGGGTGATTAAGGTCTTCCCAACAGCCAGCCATCCTCTCTGCCTGCTTGCTGTTTTCTGCATCCTGCTCTTAGACAAAGCATTGATTTTATTTAGTCTATGGAGGAGCATTGCTAATGTAAATCTATATAGAAAAGAATGCGAAAAGATATGCTCAGGGTCATGTGTTTTTTACTTAGTAGGCTGTTCCCAAGAGGATGGGGCATGGGCGTCGTTGGCTGGAGCCTGTTGCGTCTAAAATGGTCGCAGTTCCCAGAAAGCTTTAGGATGCCAAGAAAATGCTTAATGTCTTTCTTTAAAGAATTCCCATCTTTCATTCTTTAGGTCCAGCGTCTCCTCATCGTCATCATCGTAGAGAACCTAGAATAAATCAAATAAACCAGTCAGCACAGGCAGGTGAACTATGAACTTTGGCATGGCGCAAAATCTCCAGCAGTTATGGAAAATTAGGATTATATGGAAATGAAAACACACAGGGAAAGACGACACAGAAGTAGGACAACCTTGGAAGAGCATTATTACTTACCATGTGCTTTTTCTGTTCAGGATCGTACGACACGACACTGCCGGTGTAAAACCTGCAGGCACACAGTTTTGAATGAGACATTGGTTCCAAATTTGCACAAACTATGCATGCAATTCACAAACATTCTGGCTTTCATAATAATTTTTAAAAGTACAAGCTAGGATGAGAAATAACTCCTGTAAGATAATTAAATTCAAAAGACCAGGAATGTGCAAAAGAAATCAGAATGATTTCTACGATCAAAGAAAGCACTTTTCTATTAGTAATATAACCAATATATGTATACAATACATCCTACAAGACCAATGACACAACTTTGCAATTCCAATAGATGGCCTTTCTTACACTAACAGACATCTTGATTTTGAGTTCAAATAGACATAACTGCCTAGGAGATTAATGGAATAAATATTGACAAATTATAATATACAACTAACTAGATAATCAACCAAATTACTAATCAGAATTACTCCCAAAAACTCCTGATAGTTGAGCAAAGAAGAAACGAAAACACAATTCAGAATTTATTGAGACCATATTATACCAAAAGAAGCTGGATTATCATCTAGAACAATAAAAACACTAAAAACCACAGATCCAACACAAACAGAAGCTGACTAACAAGCCCTTTAGTGGTTGTATTAATCTACAAAAATACGATATTCAGCAAAATACAAGAGGATTGATTCTTCTTAAATTGATGGAAAATAAGCACACTAAATTAATAGTGCATTTTCTTGAACTTACGTTCTGTCCAACGGCCACCAAACCATTATTCTTGCATTAACCAATTCCTCCCCATAATCCTCCACACGCAGCCCTTCAGAATTCTGGAATGAAGTGAATATTAGAAGAAAAATAATTAGACTTTTCCTCACAAAGTATGTTTTGGTTATTAGTTTATATGGAAACCAGAATTATACTTTTCCGTTTTCAGGATTCAAACTCCGAGGATGATCATCTCTTGCAGGCTCGGAACGAGAAGGTTGTTCATTCTGTAATTATTGTTGCAAACAGGTGAATATAGAAGGATACATTGAAAAAAACACAAGATGTATTAAATAAATATATATATACATTGATTACCTTATTTACAGCATCATCCCCGCCACAACTCAGGTGCAGCAATTGTTCATCTTCCCCCTCAGGCTCATTGCCACTAATGTCAGCATTACCTGAATTCCTCTCTCTTGTGTTGGATGGCACAGGTTTTCTCTTTCTTCGCTTCGAGGGAAATTCATGAACAGAATCAAGTTTGCCAGAAGAGCTACAAGCCACATCAGCTTTTCCAGACCTTGACGGAGAAGCCAAATCCTTCCCCATTTCAGCATCCACAGAAAATTTACACGAAGCCGGCCTTCCTATTTGGCAAATGTGCACATATCCCTCTTCTGGCCTTAACAAGGAGTTGGGTTTTCTACCTCTTTTGCTTCTGGTAGTTACTCCCTCAACTTCCTCCTGCAGGCTACTTTGTTGTTTTGGGCAAGCCTCTGCATTTTCTCCTTCCACTCTCAATGCCTCTTTGCTACAGGCGCCAACTGTAATGGGGTGAACGGTTGCCACAGTTTTTTCTGAATCCTGTGATATAAAGAAAGATGATGAGATTAGTATACATGTAAATACATACAATACATATATAAGGATATAACTATATTTGAGGGATGAAATATATGAGATCACACATGGAGATATAGGGATAGGTATCCTCCATAAAATAATTTCTAAACTGAAGCACAATGTGTGATGTTTATATTTTATTTTTTTATTTAAGATACACGTAACATACATATATTTTCTAGAAACTATTCAACATCCACCATAGGTAGGTGTAATGAGTATCCAAAACAATCGATAGAAATTTAATTTGTAGTATGTGATACATTTTGTAATTGGATCATGAATTGTATGTGCTCGTGATGAGCATCTAATGATACAAAATCCTACTGCCAAAACTAAGAATGAAAATAAGTTGAGCTAATCTAGCTCACAATGAGGCTTCAAAAACACACGAGCTCCATCAAGCTTCGCGAAAGGTGTGCTACAGGCAAGTAGTTCACGACCTAAGCTCGGGTTGAGTTTGAGTTCAACTCAAGCTAAGATAAAAATTATTTGGTTACAACTATTTGCCCAAGCACAACAAACTTTCAAGTCTTCACTTTTACTGTTAAACTTGACTCAATGAATCCACACTCGAGTGAATTATTTGACCGAAAGTTATAAGGTTTCAAACAACCCTAACTGAGTTTTAAACTAAACAAAATAAAAACTTTATGCTAGAGCTCAATTAGTCAAGAGAAATAATGTCCAAGCTTACTTAACAAAAAATTGCCAAGTGTGAGCTCAACTCATGCAAAACATAAATAAGCTAAGTTAACTTAATTAGGCTACAAGAGTATTGGCTTGAGAAACTATATATAGGGAATTGGAAATAATAATTTCAATCTTTACCTTAAAATGCCATGGGGATATAACTAAAGTTTTCTCATTTATAACAAACCGCTCATGGAGCCAATCAATCTCCCAAAGAAATGAGTTGAGATGAACTTGTATTCGAAATTCACATGCTCAAGTCAAGCTTTGATACGTGCAGCTCATAAATAGCTCAATGAGCAAACACCCTAATTCCTAAGGGTTTGACCGAACAACATAATCCATTTAAATCAATAAGCTATGAAATTGCATGCTTATTGTTGCTATGAAAGAATGGGTACATGTGCTTAAAATTTCAGTAGAGCAGATTTGAAAAATATCATGGCATTAAAACCACGTTTCATTATGGTACTTTAAAGTTCAAGTTTTCTTTGTTGCACTTTAGGCTTAGAGTGTGTTTGTTAGTGTTAACTTTTTGTTAGTGGGTAGAGTATATATATTGTGTAAGTGTTTTTATTTTTCGGTAATATTAATTAGAAAGAGTGTATGTGTTTTTTTTTTTTGGATGTACCCATAGTTTAGAAAATTAAACTGTTTAATTATATTTCTCATGTCCATGTTCTAAAATACAAATGGAACTATGAAGTTATTCAAACAAATTAGGAGTTCATGCATGAGGTTTAGCTTTCATAGAAAATTTTACATTGTCAAAAGGCCAATAACAGTTGGTTTCCCAACGCAATGGCATCCTTGCATTAGTTTTTGTGGGTTATTTTAGAGATTATTTTAAACAGCGACATAACTCTTATGTTGGGTATTTTGTCCTTTTGTGGTCCAGTCCAACTTTCTCCTCGATTATTAAAAATTTACCCATTTTGTAGCCTGACCCAACCTAAGTCCTAGATTTTCCCTTTTATATTCCTATTGATTCATTTGTTAAGTGATATAGAATGTGGAACATGAGAATAATGTAGAGGGTTGAGAGGGAGATATAGGAGTTGAAAATGTAGAAACCATATAGAGAGAGTGAGGGAGAGTGCCCTCCGTGTGAGTGATGGTATCCTTGGTGGTTTTAGCCGGAAACCGTCTCCGGCGAGTATGTTCTTTGTGTGTCCTTTCTTTTAGCATCTTTTTATGAAGATTCTTGAATCCACTTGTGTTCGGTTCTGGTCATAGCATCTTTGAATATATTTCTATTTCACGATTTTAAAGTAACATATACATAGGTACGCATATGAATTTGCCTTTTCGGATTAAGATAAAGAAGTAACATTAAAAATTACTTTCTTGACAAGGATATTTAATAATTGTTGTTCGTCACCACTATCCGAGTAGCATAGACTAGCATTTTTACAAAAAATACGACATGATACTTATAGATTGCCTGATATTACAAAAGTTTTGCATCATTCATTAATGCTTTGGCTTTGCAAATGTTAAAAGTATATATAACGATATAATAAATATTTTCTTAGAAAAAATTACGGTGATATGGCTTGACAATAACATGGATAAGAAAATTGATTCTTTCACTTCTCCAAATGATGAGGTGAAGCTACAAACATGAAATATCCATTATTGAAGTACTATTATGGAGTTAGTGCTAATTAGTGACAATCGCCATAGAATGGCAATGGCATGCATGGCAATTGTCCGCACAAGGAAACACCATCACAAGCCTAGGTTCCCCGTGGCTTTTGCTTCCAAATCTTACTATTGGTTTCAAAATCATGTCTAGTCAATATGTAAGCAAAATAGTTTAGGTTCTAAATTTCATAGCTAGTTTTTCTATTTTCTCAGTAATAGGTTCTTAAGTACAACTTTTGGTTGTTTGGCTTTGAATAAAGTTATTCATATAGTTTATTGTTTTGTAATCGAATTGATTAATGATTCACTTTCTATTAGATATACAATGTTTTTCAGCGAACTTTTTTATTTTTATTTTTAATAAAAAAGATCAAAGAGGTATATTACCAAAGAATAAAAGAACAAACCTTTTCTTAAGAATAAGGTTGTTCTTGTGGAATAAGATTGTAAGGAAAGGATTTAGTCTAGCATAGTAAACATCCTTTGAAGATAATGGTGAAGTAAAGTACGAAAGAGCCATGTGTTTTTCAGCAAACCCTTTTTAAGAATAAGGTTGTTCATGAATGGATATTATTATTCGAATAAGATTGTAAGAAGGGGAATTAGGCTAGCATAGTAAACATCCTTTAAAGATAATGGCGAAGTAAAATATGAATGAGGCATGTGTGGGTAAACTGTAATGCTTTAAATAGTGGCTAATATCTTATGGAATGGTTCATTGTCTGAGGGACCCACTATATTTAGTTTATAAGTTCCTTCATTGAAAAATTCAAATGACAATTATACCTTGCTCATTTTAAAACTTACCATGCTACTACCACATAAGCACCATTTGATTGATTTTCTTCTTGGCTTAATGTACAAAGGAACGTTACCTCTTAGATTAAAAATGAAGAAACATTGCAATGTTTATCTAACTTATAAGAACAAATTTAAATCCGGAAAGTATCCATCTCCATCAATGATGACCGAATATTATATACAAAAGGTCTTTTCTGCAATTTTTTCACTCAATGACAATAAACATCCTTTAAAGATTATTAAAACATATTAAATAGTCATTTCACCTAAAAATTTAAGCTTAAAGGGATATGCATAATTTATTTATTTATACGGGAATCAATCAATACGCACGCCCCCTCACGTACAAGGTGGATGTACGCTCTTATGAAAATTGCACATAGACGATGACGAATAGGTCTACATTGTCATCCATTCCCTGAATAGATAAATAAATGATATTGTAAATTTGTATACTTACTCATTTTTAAAATTTCCACTACATAAACCCCACTCAGTTGATTTATTTTTCTTAGGGAAATGGCTCAATATAGAGATGGTCACTAGTGTTTAGATTATTGACTGAATTGTAGAAAATATAGCACAAATCCTAGACATGACTATCAACTCTTAAATAATAAAAGGAAAAATCAATTGTCTTCTAGACAACATCAAGATACTAATCCCCTCAAAGAACAAATTTTCCAAAAGTATTCTTCTTCATAAAGTAATTCTATAATAATTCTACAGAGTTTTATGTAAGTGTTTTGTTTGTTTGTTTTTCCCTAGGTTTCTTTACAATGCAACCCTCAAGATTCCATATAAAAATACGTTCTTTCCTCTGAAAAAACATCACATCCAAATCACTATTTAAAGATAGTGGATTCTATCTTTGTATTATTTGTCATCTGAAAAATTGTCCGTATTTTGTCCATCAATACGCACATTGAAGAATGGATGACAATTGTAACCTTGCTGATTTTAAAATTATAACAACATAAACCCCCACATTTGGTTTTCTTCATGGAAAATTGACTTACTGTAGAACCCTTATTTGCTTGATAAGAAGTACGCATATGTTCTTAATATTCTTGTGCAAGCCTTGTCTGCTCTAGTCTTAGACAACATGTCGGAGATGAAATGGTAGAAGCCAAAAATTTGATTCAATCAATACCTCCGATCTTCTCTCAAAAATCTAAATAATACTCTTGAATGAATCATTATGTATTGTTTCCTTGTTTGTTCCCCCACATTTTTTGGAAATACATATCCTAGTAAAACTTCAATTAAGATGTATGGGTTTATTGGGTTTAGTAGACACAATTATTATTTTTAAATTAGTACATTTACGGGGTTGTTGCTACATGGGATAAGTTGGAATTATTCAATCCCCGTGTCTTGATTAATTGATCGCATCAAATTCTCGATAGGGATTAACTATGTAACAAATTACAACACAACGACTATTTAATCCATGAAAAGAAACAAATGAATATAGATTTCAGATACAAGGTTCGAGCCTTTTTCAAATGATATTGACACCATGCAATAAGTTTTCCTATAGTGTCTATATCTAAACTAAAATGGACATCAAGACACATATGTGAAGTAACAACATAAAATAATAATAACTCATCATAACATATTTCATCAATGGTATGTGAACAGAGATCCGATGTATAAAAAAACTTCTTTTCGAAGATAAAATTACTCCCTATATATACGAACATAACTAATCCCATCTAATGTATTCATACACAGAAACAAATTCTTACTGCACAATACATAAGTATAACACAAAAACAATAATATCATAACATATGTGAAGTAACAACATAAAATAATAATAACTCATCATAACATATTTCATCAATGGTATGTGAACAGAGATCCGATGTATAAAAAAACTTCTTTTCGAAGATAAAATTACTCCCTATATATACGAACATAACTAATCCCACCTAATGTATTCATACACAGAAACAAATTCTTACTGCACAATACATAAGTATAACACAAAACCAATAATATCATAACATATGTGAAGTAACAACATAAAATAATAATAACTCATCATAACATATTTCATCAATGGTATGTGAACAGAGATCCGATGTATAAAAAAACTTCTTTTCGAAGATAAAATTACTCCCTATATATACGAACATAACTAATCCCATCTAATGTATTCATACGCATAAACAAATTCTTACTGCACAATACATAAGTATAACACAAAAACAATAATATCATAACATATGTGAAGTAACAACATAAAATAATAATAACTCATCATAACATATTTCATCAATGGTATGTGAACAGAGATCCGATGTATAAAAAAACTTCTTTTCGAAGATAAAATTACTCCCTATATATACGAACATAACTAATCCCATCTAATGTATTCATACATATAAACAAATTCTTACTGCACAATACATAAGTATAACACAAAAACAATAATATCATAACATATGTGAAGTAACAACATAAAATAATAATAACTCATCATAACATATTTCATCAATGGTATGTGAACAGAGATCCGATGTATAAAAAAACTTCTTTTCGAAGATAAAATTACTCCCTATATATACGAACATAACTAATCCCATCTAATGTATTCATACGCATAAACAAATTCTTACTGCACAATACATAAGTATAACACAAAAACAATAATATCATAACATATGTGAAGTAACAACATAAAATAATAATAACTCATCATAACATATTTCATCAATGGTATGTGAACAGAGATCCGATGTATAAAAAAACTTCTTTTCGAAGATAAAATTACTCCCTATATATACGAACATAACTAATCCCATCTAATGTATTCATACATATAAACAAATTCTTACTGCACAATACATAAGTATAACACAAAAACAATAATATCATAACATATGTGAAGTAACAACATAAAATAATAATAACTCATCATAACATATTTCATCAATGGTATGTGAACAGAGATCCGATGTATAAAAAAACTTCTTTTCGAAGATAAAATTACTCCCTATATATACGAACATAACTAATCCCATCTAATGTATTCATACACATAAACAAATTCTTACTGCACAATACATAAGTATAACACAAAAATAATAATATCATAACATATGTGAAGTAACAACATAAAATAATAATAACTCATCATAACATATTTCATCAATGGTATGTGAACAGAGATCCGATGTATAAAAAAACTTCTTTTCGAAGATAAAATTACTCCCTATATATACGAACATAACTAATCCCATCTAATGTATTCATACACATAAACAAATTCTTACTGCACAATACATAAGTATAACACAAACAATAATATCATAAGTAAACACTATAATACACTTCCAAATAAAATTAGTAGAAGTTTTTGACATTAAGTATGCATATATATATATATATGTTTCATTGAAGAAATAGCTTATGAATAGCTACAACCAATCTTCTCATCTCCCATAAACATATGATGACTATCATTAAATTTGATATGTCAAATTATTCAAGATACTGATCTCTAACAATTGACTTGGAAAGAATGCCAAAACACAAGAAAACACATTCTAATTTCATAAGATTCGCGTAGAAGAACGAACCGGTTTTTCACCATCGGAAATATATTGGCAGAGGGAAGAAACTATGTCTGCATAAGCTTTGACCTCCAAGTTAAGCATTTTCACAGCCTCTCTGACATGAGGCTGGACTTTGGCGGCACACTTTTCTACCACAGTTTTCCCTAGCTCCCAAGCCCTGGGTGAAGCGTACTGAAGCCAAAGATAGATAGATATATATATATATTTATATATAGTACATATTATTTTGCATTGTAACAATAGAGGAATGCAAAAACGAAAAATATTTGAAAATAAACAAAAAACCGATGAAAGATAGTAAATGATTGTGGGGAGTTTCATCACCTTATTATCTAGTTTGATACTTGATAGCAGGATCTTTACAAGATCTGCCAGGATATGGTCAGCCTCATCGATCATCACAGACATGACCGTTGCCATGTTTTCAAATACATCGGAAGGATGATCAGGCCTTCAACATCACAAAACCCAAATTAGTAGGTAAGATCAAGTGGATGTTATAACCATATTAGTTTTATAATCACAAATCCTGTAATAGTGTTTGGAACTCAGTGGTATATAAATAATGACAGAATAGATGAAACCGGAACATTTCAGGGAATTCAAAAGTAAGGACTAATTCTCGCAAACTTACCTAACAATATCGAAAAAAAGCTGGAACATATCCACGACCATTTGATCACATTCTATGTCCAGCAATATCAGGCATGTTTTACAACTTGCCATGACATCAAGAATCCTCCGAGCTCTTGAACTGTTGTTCAGAAGATGTCCGGTGGTTTTAGTTACACCGGAAGCAAGGTCCTTCAATGCCACCATGAATAACTGGAAGATTTTCTGTCACCACAAACCAGAATATAGTCAGTCTACTATCTAAGAGTTAAGGTTTTCACAATGGTGGTTTGAAAGACTTCTTACTTTCATTATATCTTCAGAGAATGGGGCGTCAGGAAGAGTTATTTTGGAGACCTCGTTCATAATAGATGCGTGTATCATTTTGATCTGAGCATCTGTATGCTGGAACAATTCATCCACCAGCAGCAGTTCCTTTATTGGAGCAAGAATCACCTTTGTAGACTCTGGTGCACCTTGCCATACATATCTCACCGTCTCCTCAACTTGCTGCGAGATCAAAACCAAAACAGTTCATATCAAATAGCATCGAACACACATCATATTCATTTTATTTATCTGTTTGTTTAATTTTTTAAATCTTAACACCAAAACATAATGAAAACATCTCCCAGCATTAAGTTTATGCTTGTTTCTCAGTTCACATATGATTAAACACATTTTTAAAAGCTCATCCAAGAACCAAAAATCAAACACCAAATCCGCTGATCTGTCTGCCATCTACCAAATCCAGCCTTTCCTCCACATAACATAGTCCAAAACCCGTACACGATGTGTGCTTTTAATCAAGACACCATCCAGAGATGCCAACAAGCAATGATTTTAATAAAAATAGTCAAACAATAACAAAGCCACACAGATATGAAAAATATCCCTAAAACAGGAGCCTTAATCATATCTTCAAGAAATTTAGATTTCACACGGTTTTTTTGTTTGAAGGATCCTTTGCGCAAACACTAGCCATCCAAGTACACAAAATCCAAGATTTTCCAAAACGCTCAAAACAAAGTGATCACTTTCTCAATCAACACACATACAATAAGGCACACCCAACTCAACGAACATTATTAATCAAAACAAACAAAGTGAAACATTTTTCATATACCACAAGAAGCTCTTTCAATTGGAGGGTGGATGAAGGAAGAGGCCTGACAAACTTGCTGGCAACAGCCACCAAATGCTCTTCAAACACTTTCCTGAATTTTGGATTGTAAACTTCATCACGAGTATAAACCTGCATTCTCTGAATCCACCTGTTGAAATATAGAAAGAAAGGGCGAAGCAATTCCAGAGAAAACCACCACTGAACTGAATCCCCTTAATTTTTTTTTGAACTCTTCTCCTCAAGACAATGCAGCTCCTCCCCCTCCTCAGCCCCGATTATATGAAAAGCAGAGTGAGTCAGCAACAGCTAGCTAATGCTAATGGTGGCGATGACGTCAGTCAGTCAGTAACGGACGAGTAAATTAGGGGACTTTTGCAGAATGTCGTCCATGCAGGCAGGCAGAACCACCCACCCACCCCTCTTAAAAGTTAAAACCCCACCCGGATTTTGCCTCATTGGGTGAAATTTTGATAATTCTTCGACTTCAAATCCGTGGATTCTCGCCATTTATGGTTTTTGACCATTTTGGGTTTGGCGCGGGATTCCTTTTCCTTTTCTGGCTGTGGCTGTGGCTGTGGCTGTTGCTCCTGCTCCAAACATATCGACGGTTCGGTGGTAGTACGTTTGATTTCATTAACGGGCGGGCGCTAAAACCTTTCGCGATGGAATCTTATTATTAAGTATGTCGTTTGTTTGTTGCCGTCTATTTATTATAAATACTTTTTGAAATGACATTTTTGCCCTCGCTCCCAATTATAGAGAATCCTTTCTTGCAATAATACAGTTAGGGTGTGTTTGGTTGAGGGATTGAACTTTTTTTCTATTATTCATTCAATTTTTTTTCCCCAAAAACATCGAATCAATCATTATTTTCTGATCCGCTCTTTTTCCTATTCAAAGATCAGCCCCCTTTTTTTATATTATAATAAAAATCAATTTTACATTTGAAATATCACATCAACGCCTATTTATATCACATCATACAACTATTCAAATTCAAAATTTTTACTATTCAAATCTCAACTCAAAATTCAAATCCCCAAACAAACGCACCCTTAGTAGCAGTAGCATTATTTTAATTTTAATGCGAAATTAAAATAATTAATATACTTACTATATATTTTATGGCCGCGGATCTCATATATTAAATATTCTTACCTATATATAATTGGGGATTGATGTAGAAAATGAAAATAATACTCCCTCCAATTTGTGATTTTGTACTAAATTAAAATAATAATATGCCCTTCATCCAATTAAATATTAATTTGTTAATATTGCCAAAATTAATAATATGATAAATTTAACGAACAGACAAAAAAAAAAAAAAAGTGAGAATAAATTTGGCTGTGAAAGTAGTATATTTTATTAGGTAAGAAAAGTGTATAAGACATTTTCACATTTTTGCCTTTATGAAAGTAATTGTATGTCTAAATTACCGTTTGTAATTTAAGTAAAAATAAAAGTATTTTAGTATTAATGTAGGATTACTTTTAAAATGATATTTTAAAATTCGACGGATAAAAATGGTAAAGATGATACTTTCAAATAGGACGAAGAAAGAAATTATTATCATAATTTTAATAATTTTTTCGTTTGTTACCAAATTCAACTAATTATTTATATTTTTTTGCAATAAATATTTTTATTATTAGTTAATTTCTAAATAATACGAGGGCTTTGTTTATTTGTAATTTTTATTATGTAATAGTATTAATAATTTTTATAAATTACAATTTATTTTTTATTTAAAAAATTATTTAATCCTTTTTTTAATAAAAATGTCAAAAAAATATGTATTTGTTTATTTGTAATTTGAAATTGATTTAAAATTGAAATATTGATTTGAATTTTTTTTAAATAGTTTTTTTGATATAATATTTTATTAATATATATATATATTTGTATTGAAAATTATAAATAATTAATAATATTAATTTTGGTTTCAAATTACAAAAGAACACAAATATTTTAAAATTTTTTAAAATAAAACCGCATTTTATTTCTCAATTTTTTAATTAAATAGATTTCAAATATATGTATTGAAATTTAATACAAGTCACAATAGTGTCGTAAGCTTTAGAGACAATACAGAAGTTAATATTCATAATCTGCTTACCATCATCATATTGCACTGTATGAAAATTGAATGCATTCATACATAATATACTTCAAATTTTATCACTTTATTCGATATACCCCATGCTAATGTTTTCAACAAAGGATCATCTATACAATTCCGAACATCTTGTGAAAAATTAAAGATGGATAAAATTGTTTACTATAAATTAATTGTGCATAAGTTTAAATGAAAAATAAAAATTAAATAAAATGTTAAATACTAGATGTTATATTTTGAATGCAATATTTAATAGTATATATCTATATCTATTTCTTATGGTGGCAGTAACAACAGAAATTCTAGCAGTTTTTTCGAGAGGGATTGCACGCTTGAAGAATACAAAACCCCATTAATTTGTGGATCCGAATCCGACAACCCTAATGAAATCAAATTATATTTATTGTTTTATTTCTTACCTCAATTATTCAACACTACTTATCCTGAACTTAGGGTTTAATTCCGCTAAGTTCTAAATATGAAAATTATTATTGTCCTATTAGTGCTCCAAATCCAAAACATCTATCATCCCAAATTAAGATTTTATTTTTATTATTTTATTTTTCTTACATTCTTATCAACATATTATAATAAAAAATATTTGAATTATTTAATTAATTTACTTCAAATTAAGACTATAATTATCTATAATTTTAGTCTTTTCGGAGCAGAACAAACGAGCAAAATGTCTTAGGCAGAGACTTCTCTTCCAACGCATATTTACACACATACATACATACACATACATTTGTGCATGTATATAAAGCCTGAGCCTCTGTTCTAATGTTAGTTCTGTAAAAAATTATGCACAGGCTGTGTGAGGAATTAAAATGAACCTCACCAACCACTTGTTTGGCAAAGTATAATGTTAGGATAAGTACTATTCATCTCGTGGCCGGAGTCACTGTGCAGTCAGCCAAGACGTTGTTCATCACAAAGCAGTAAAAGACAGCATTGGAATCCTGCTGACAAGATCGAACCCAACCCAGCCTTATGGGTGATTAAGATCTTCCCAACAGCCAGCCATCCTCTCTGCCTGCTTGCTGTTTTCTGCATCCTGCTCCTTACACAAAGCATTGATTTTATTTAGTCTATGGAGGTACATTGCTAATGTAAATCTTTATCTAGAAAAGAATGCCGAAAAGATATGCTCAGGTTCATGGTTTTTTACTTAGTAGGCTGTTCCCAAGAGGATGGGGCATGGGCGTTGTTGGCTGGAGCCTGTTGCGTCTAAAATGGACGCAGTTCCCAGAAAGCTTTAGGATGCCAAGAAAATGCTTAATGTCTTTCTTTAAAGAATTCCCATCTTTCATTCTTTAGGTCCAGCGTCTCCTCATCGTCATCATCGTAGAGAACCTAGAATAAATCAAAGAAACCAGTCAGGACAGGCAGGTGAACTATGAACTTTGGCGCAGCGCAAAATCTCCAGCAGTTATGGAAAATTAGGATTATATGGAAATGAAAACACACAGGGAAAGACGACACAGAAGTAGGACAACCTTGGAAGAGCATTATTACTTACCATGTGCTTTTTCTGTTCAGGATCATACGACACGACAGTGCCGGTGTAAAACCTGCAGGCACACACAGTTTTGAATGAGACATTGGTTCCAAATTTGCACAAACTATGCATGCAATTCACATCCATTCTGGCTTTCATAATGGTGTTTAAGTACAAGCTAGGATGAGAAACAACTCCTGATAGTTGAGGAAAGAAGAAACAAAAACACAATTCAGAATTCATTGTAACCAAATTATACCAAAAGAAGCTTGATTATAAGTAGAACAATAAAAATACTATAAACCACAGATCCAACACAAAGGCGTATCTAACAGAATCTGACCAACAAGCCCTTTAGTGGTTGTACTAATCTACAAAAATGCGCAATTCAACAAAATACAAGAGGATTGATTCTACTTGATTTGATGGAAAATAAAGCACACTAAATTAATACAATGCATTTCTTGAACTTACGTTCTGTCCAACGGCCACCAAACCATAATTCTTGCATTAATTAATTCCTTCCCATAATCCTCCACACGCACCCCTTCAAAATTCTGGAATGAAGTGAATATTACAAGACAATGATTAGACTTTGCCTCACAAAGTATATTTCGGTTATTAGTTTATAAGGAAACCATAATTATACTTTTTCGTTTTTAGGATTCAAACTCCGAGGCTGATCATCTCTTGCAGGCTCGGAATGAGAAGGTTGTTCCGTCTGTAATTATTGTTGCAAACAGGTGAATATAATATAGAAGGATACATTTAAGAAAGCACAAGATGTGTTAAATATATATATATATATATTGGTTACCTTATTCACAGCATCATCCCTCCCACGACTCAGGTGCAGCAATTGTTCATCTTCCCGCTCAGGCTCACCGCCACTAATGGCTGCACTGCGGCCAGCACTACCTGAATTCCTCTCTCTTGTGTTGGATGGCACAGATTTTCTCTTTTTTCTCTTTGAGCGAAATTCCTGATCACCGAAAGTTTCAAGGTTTCAAACAACCATAATTGAGTTTTAGACTAAACAAAATAAAAGCCCTATGTTAGAGTTTAATTAGTCAAGAGAAACAATGTCTAAGCTTGGCTTAACAAGAATTTGCCAAGTGTGAGCTCAAGTCAATCAATCTACAAGATTATTGGCTTGAGGAACTATACATAGGGAATTGGAAATAATAATTTCAACTCTTACCTTAAAATGCCATACAAATATAATTAAAGTTTGCTCATCTGTAATAAACTGCTCATGGAGCCAATCAGTATCCAAAAGAAAGGAGTTGATCCGAACTTGTGTTCCAAATTCACATGCTCAAGTCAAGCTTTGATATGTGAAACTCAAAAAAAGCTCAATTTGCAGGCACCCTAATACGTATGGGTTTGACTGAACAACATAATCTATTTAAATCAATACATTATGAAATTGCATGTTTATTGTTGATAGGAAAACATGAGTACATCTGCTTAAAATTTCAGTTGAGGAGATTTCAAAAATATCATGGCATTAAAACCATGTTTCATTATGGTACTTTCATCTTAAAGTTCTGTTCGATGCACTTCAGACGTAGAGTGTGTTTGTTCAGTGTTAACTTTTTGTTAGTGGGTAGATTATGTATATTATATGGGCATGGATTAGCTGCTGATCCGATCAAGTCAGTATGGTGCTGATTTGACGGGATAAACAAATACTATATAGGTAATCAACATTTATTTTTACATATCTCAACATATTTATAATACAATATATGTTATATTCTAATTCATCATATATTATATTATAACTCAGCATATGTTGTATTATGTATAAATATATGCTGGTATTGTACGACATATGCCGATCTGGTCAAATCAGCACCATGTTTACTTGGCTGGATCAACACAGGATCCGCAGCCCTGTTATATATATTGTGTGTATATTTTGGTAATATTAATTGGAAAATGTGTATTATTATTATTATTTTTTTGGAGGTTGTACCTGTAGTTTAGAAAACTAACCTTATATAATATTTCCCATGTCCATTTTCTAAAATGCAAAATGGAACTGTGAAGTGAATCAAATAAATTATGAGGGCATGCATGAGTTTTAGCTTTCATACAAAATTTTATTCCTCGATTATTAAAAATTGGCCCATTCGACTACGGCCCAATCTAATTCTTAGACTTTCCATCTTATATTCCTATCCATTCATTTGTTAACTATATAGAATTTGGAACTCGGGATTAGTGTACAGGGTTGAGAGGGAGTGAGGAGTTGAAAATGTAGAAACCATATACAGAGGGAGGGAAAGTGTCCTCTTTGTGAGTGACAGTATCCTTGGTGGTTTTATCCGGAAACCATCTCCAACGAGTATCTTATTTGTGAGCCCTGTGTGTGTCCTTTCATTTTTATATCTTTTCGTGAGGGTTCGCAAATTTAGTTGTGTTTGGTTCTGGTCATAACATCTTCAAATGTATTTCTATTTTACGATTTTAAAGTAACATATACATAGGTATGTATATGTATTTGCCTTTATGGATTAAGATAAAAGAAGTAATGTTCAAAATTACTTTCCTGAAAAGGATACTTAAGAATTGTTGTTCGTCACCACTATGCAAATAGCATAGACTAACATTTATACAAAAAACACATGATACTTATAGATTGTCTGATATTACATACGAATATTGAGTTGCAAACATAAATGATATCAAATTTTACATCATTCATTAATGCTTTGGCTTTGGAAATCTTAAAAGTATAGATCAAATATTCTCTTAGAAAAAATTGTGGTGATATGGCTTGGCAATAGCATGGATAAGAAAATCGATTCTTTCATTGCACTGAACGATGAGGTGAAGCTATAAGCATGAACAATCTATTCTGAAATACTTTTAGGAAGTCAGTGCTAGTGAGCATCAATTGCCACAGAATGGCAATGGCATGCATGCCAATTGCCCGGATAAGGAGCAAGATCGAAAGGAACATAAAATTAAGATTAAATAGAAGGTGGAGTATCGGCCGTTGCTTGTATATCAACGACTTTATTTGATTTTCTATTAACATATTATAATTTGACTTGGGCTTGCTCTTAGTTATTAAGTGGTATATTTTATTTTTAGTAAGCAGGGTTTACTATTAGTATTTAAAGAGACTATCTAAGGTTTGGAGAACATTATTATTGATATTGGGAATATAGGAGCCTGGTGACTTTTGGGCAAACAGTTGATTCTGTTTGATTGTTCCTTAGGCAAATGATTGGTATCGTTTGATTATCTTATTACTTTTATTTGGTTCTAACAATCCACTATGTTTAGTTTACGAGTTCCTTCATTCAAAAATCAAATGACAATTATATGGTGCTCATTTTAAAACTTACCAGGTACCATGACATAAACACCACTTGATTGATTTTCTTCTTGGGAAATTGGCTCAGTGTACAAAGGCACATTTAGTTTTAGATTATAGTAGAAAATGTTTAGCAAATCTTTGATATTGTCTCTAATTATTCTTAAAAGTTTTCAGCAATATGCAATAATTACAATAAATGACGAAATAGATTGTTCTGTAGATAACATCGCAATGTTTATCTTCTTAAAATAAAAAATCTAAATCCTGAAAGTATCCATCTCCATCAATGATGACCGATTATTAGATACAAAAGGTCATTTGTGAAAATTTTCTCTCACAATCGAAGGACATCATTTAGAATAGTTTTGAGAACGGGTTTCACTCAATGACAATAAACATCCTTTAAAGATAATGAGGAAACAAGTATGAATGCCTGTTGTAGGTGAATTGAAAGGTAGTAAATAATGGATATCTTTTGGAATGATGTATCATAGGTCTACATTGTTATTTGTTCCCCAAATCAATATATAAATTATATTGTAATCTTACCCATTTTAAAATTTCCACTACATAAACCCCATTTAATTGATTTATTTTTCTTGGGGGAAATGGCTCACTATAGAAATGATCACTAGTATTTAGATGATTGACAAAATTCTAGAAAATATTGAGCAAATCCTAGACATGACCCTCAACTTGTAATATGTATAATGAATAGAATAAAAAGAAAAATCAGTTGTCTTCTAGACAACATGAAGATGTTAATCCCCTCAAAGAACAAATTTTTCAAAAGTATTCATCTCCATAAAGTAATTTCATAATAATTCTACAAATTTTTTTATTTTAAGTGTTTCGTTTTGTTTGTTTGTTTTAATATTTCTACTATGCAACCCAACAGATTCCTTATGAAAGTACAATCTTTCCTCTGAAAAACCATCACATCCAAACCACCATTGAAAGATAATGGATTCCATCTTTGTATTATCCGTCATCTCAGAGACTTGACCATATTTTTTCCATCAATACCCACATTGAAAACAGGTGATAATTGTGAACTTGGTGATTTTAAAATTATTACCACATAATACCCACACTTGGTTTAATTCATGGGAAATTAACTTGGTTTGATAAAGCAAGGAAGCATATGTTCTTAATATTCCTGTGCAAACCTTGTCTACTCTAGTCTTAGACAACATGTCGGAGATGAAATGGTAGAAGCCAACAATTTGATTCGATCAATAGCTTCGATGCTTCTCTCAAATCTAAATAATGCTCTTGATTGAATCATTTATATATTGTTTCCATGTAGAAAAACATATCCTAGTAGAACTTCAATTAAGATATATGGGTTTATTGGTTATAATAGACAACTATTATTTTTAAATTAGTACATTAAGGGGGTGGTTGCTACAAGGGATAAGATGGATTAACTGTGTAAGAAATTACAACACAATGACTAATTAATTCATAAAAGTTAACAAATGCATACAGATTTCAGATACATGCACTACAAAAAAAATAGTATATTTGTAAGGGAATTTCGTTAATTCCATTCCTATTTTCATCTCTAATGTCATTAGTAACGAAAAAAGTAGATTTAGAGACAAAAAAATTTTGTTACAAAAATAATTTTTTTTGTAGTGATGGTTCGATTCTTTTTAAAATAATATTGACACCACGCAATCAGTTTTCCCATAGTGTCTATATCCAAACTAAAATGGACATCAGACACGCATATGTGAAGTAACAACATTAAATAATAATAACTCATCATAACATATCTCATCAATGGTATGTGAACAGAGATCCAATGTCTTAAAAAACTTCTTTTCGAAGATAATATTACTTCCTACATATACGAACATAGCTACTCCCATCTAATGTATTCATGCACAGAAACAAATTCTTACGGTGCACAATTACATATGTCTAACACAAAAGCAATAATATTATAAGTAAACACTATAATTACACTTCCAAATAAAATTAGTAGAATTTTTTGACATTAAGTATGCATATATATATATATGTATGTATTTTTCAAAGAAGATAATAGCTTATGAATAGCTACAACCAATCTTTTCATCTCCCATAAACATATGATGACTCTCATGCAATTTGATATGTCAAATTATTCAAGATATTGATTTCTAAGATTGACTTGGAAACAATGCCAAAACAAGATAAAGCAAATTCTAATTTCATAAGATTCATGTACGAGAACGAACCGATTTTTCACCATCAGACATATCTTGGCAGAGGGAAGAAACTATGCCTGCATAAGCTTTAACCTCCAAGTTAAGCATTTTCACAGCCTCTCTGACATGAGGCTGGAGTTTGGTGGCACACTTTTCTACCACAGTTTTCCCTAGCTCCCAAGCCCTGGGTGAAGCGTACTGCAGCCGAAGATATATATATTATTTTACATTGTAAAATGAAAGGAAAGCAAAAACGCAAAATATTTGAAAAAGAAAAACCAGTGAAACAGAATAAAAGATTGAGGAGAGTTTCATCACCTTATTATCAAGTTTGATACTTGATAGCAGGATCTTTACACAATCTGCCAGGATATAATCAGCTTCATTGATCATCACTGACATGACCGTTGCCATGTTTTCAAATACATCGGAAGGATGATCCGGCCTTCAACATCACAAAACCCAAATTAGTAAGTGTTACGCACAAAAAATAATAATAATAATAATAATAATAATAATAAGGTATCCAGAGTCAGTCGGTGGGTTCTCAGTCGGTTGGTTCTCAATCAGATAAGCAAGTCAGATGGTCCGCGGTCGGGCAAGCAGGTCGGATTATCCGCAGTCGGATAAATGGGTCGGTTGATACAAAGGTTGGCTGCTATGGGGGTCGGTCGAAAAAGGAAGTCGGGCGAAGAAAGGTCTGTTGATAGGTCAGACGATTGAAGAGACCAAATAGTGGTCGTTTGATGGGGCGACCAGTGAGTCTTTTGATCTGGCGACCAATTATGTATCTAGATTGGTCGGTTGGTCGGTCGTTAGGTTATGCGGTTGGCGAGGCGGTTAAAGACATGTGTCAATGAAAGAGGCAGTTCTGAGTTCTGTAACTGGTGGGAACGGTTGGTGAAACAGTGCGACGGTTCTGAACGTTTTCTTCAAAGAATATTTAAGGATTTGGATCATCATTTGGCAAGGCATCTTCAATCAACTTCAACAAAGCAAAGTCAGATTTGGGGATCACCACTTTAAATTTCAGTCTTTTATTTTCCAGTTTATTTTCTGTACCATACAGTGTTTAGAGATTCCTAATCTCAGGCACTAATTAATCAAGTTTAAGGATATTTTCTATATCTTTGAATTTTACTTTATTTTTGTTGAAAAATTACATCAACAAATTGGCGACCACAGTGGGAGCAAGACAAAATTGCTCATTCCAATTCCGGCGATAATTTCATACATCTTAGATCCGGCCGTATCATCGGAAGGGTCCATATGGCAGGTTCACAACCTCAATCATCTTCGGCACCGGTGGGAGAATCCGTTCCACCACCTATTGTGCCAAATGCTGGGGAAATCCCACAACCACCAACTGATTGGAGGTCTTATGTTCAACAAATGAATAACCAGCAAACTTTGGTTAAACATGTTGCGTGAGCAACAGAATCTGATGCAGAACATGTTAGATCAAGCACTGTCAAGGGTTAGTCTTCAACCCACTCAAACTCCACCAGGAGTATCACCATCTAGACTACAGGCAAATTTCGCAGGGCCATCATTCGTGGATAGTGCATTTCCAAGTGCCACAAATCCCAACCGAACGGATAGGGGAAAATCTCCTCTGACTTTTCCCAACACTGTTCCGCTGGGACCAAGGGTTTCCAGTCCGCAGCCGAACAATACAAGGGAGGACAGGCCTGGAGGACATATACATGATCCTATTCATATTCCTGTGCAGGATCCTTTCCATGTTCCTGATCATCAACGCTTTCATGTAGATCCAGATGAGATTGCACATATATTAAGGGATCAGTTTGGGCTAACTCCTCAGATGGCTAACCGCCCTGCATATCAGAGACCTTTCCCAGAAAGGATCATTAATGAACACCCCCTCCCAAGGAATTATCGACCACCTGATTTTCATGCATTCTCAGGGGAGGACGGATCTTCCACCATAGAACATGTTGGTCGGTTCACAGTACAATTGGGAGAAGTTGGTAATAACCCTTTTTATAAGTTGCAACTGTTTGGTTTATCTCTTACTAGAACAGCGTTTTCGTGGTTTGCAAGTCTGCCTCCTGGACAAATTCAGACGTGGGAAGGACTGGAGATGGCATTTCATGTCAGATTCTTCAATCCTTTACCAATTGTTTCTTTAACTGATTTACTAGAATTGAGACAGTATCCAGAAGAATCTGCTTCACAGTTTATAGAAAGGGTGCGATTGATGAAAGGGCGATGTCCTACGGTAATCAGTGAGAAAGAGATGACCAATTTAGTGGTCCGAAATATGCATACTCGCTTAAGAAAGGCACTCACTGCACTGGATGTTGAGGATTTGGCAAGTCTTGCATCTAAGGCTGGACGTTTAGAGTCTTTGTTCAGAGAAGAAGATTAGAATAACAGGCGTAATAGAGGCCAACATATGGCGAGTATGGGAACAGAAACATGTGACTTTGATTTTAATCAGTCAGAAGAGATGGCAGCCGAAATCCTTTCTGGAAAACCTTATGTATGCCCCAAATTGAAGCCAGTACCAGGATCTGAAGGAAAGGATCAACCGACGTTTGATAGTTCGAAAGCTGACGAAATCTTTGATATCCTGTTGACTGATGGCCAGATCCGTATTCCAAAGGGGCAAAGATTGGCCACTAAAGAAGAAATCAAAGGGAGACCATACTGTAAGTGGCATAATTCTTTCACACACAATACAAGTCAGTGTACTCATTTCAGGAAGGAAATTCAAAAAGCCATCAAGACAGGTCGGCTCAAGTACATCACTTTAGGTGTAGACCAGCAACCGTTTCCGAAAGTAACAACGGCAATGGTTGACATACTACCAAGTTCGGAAACAGAAAAAAGAGATTCGGCCAATAGTGGACAAACAGGGGAACGAACTCAGGCAAGCCCCGGAACAAAAAGAGGAAGTCAGCCAAACAGTGGCCGACCGGAAGAAAGACTCAAAGTTTGTGAAAAGCCAGTCGCTGAAAAATGGGACAATCCAGACGGTTCTTTTAATGTGGAGGTGAAAGAAAAGGTTTTAGTGCGTGACCACCCGACCAGAAAAACAGGGTCAGTCGGAAACAATTGGGCTCGAAATAAAAAGCCTTTACCAGTTGATATAGATCCTCGTTTCCCAGGTATGAATCGTACACAGATTCGTAATGCCAAACGCAGGTATGCTGCGAAGTATGGGAAACGAGTTCCTTCAACAAAACAACTAACCGACGAACAAAAGGCAGCCGACCACTCGGCAGGAGATCAGTCCATTAGAGTCTTTTCAACAGAACAAACAACCAACGAGCAGGGAGCAGCCATTCAATCTCCAAAAAATCGGTCCATTCGGGTCTGTTCAAGAAAGCAACCGAACGACGGATTAGGCGTTTCGGAGTATACCAAAGGAAGTTCGTCGGGACAGGGGAAAGGTAAAGGAATATCAGATGAAATAATTAGAGGTTTTAGATGCCAACATTGTGAACGGATCAACATCAATCCATCTCCTGAAGAATTCCGTATAGAATCTTTGACGATTCAATCTCAGAGTAAGACAAAGGAAGAAGTTGTAACTGCAGAGGAAAATTCGAGATCTGTTAAATCTCGTCTAGGGCCACGAATCCCTTGTCGAATGACAGAGATTAATCAGATGAAGGATGAACCGATGTGGGCGAGTCTGGTAGATGATCCTACGGACGAACCTTTATGGGCAGTCTTGGCAGATGACGAATTGGAGGAAACAGAGTGGGCAAAGGCTTCAGATCCCGAGTCTCAGTCGGAGACACCTTCGATAGTGTTTCCTCCTATTCCAGAGGGTGCGATCTCCCATTTGAAACCTCTGTATGTTAATGCTGACATTTGCGGGAAACCAATCACAAAGGTTTTTGTGGATAATGGAGCAGTCTTTAATGTTATGCCATTGAAGACTCTCAAGAAGCTAGGGAAAGGAATTCATGATCTGTCTCCTGTGGAATTCGAAATGACAAGCTTTACAGGGCAGCCGACCAAGCCCGAAGGTATGATGGTTGCCACAATTGAAGTCGGACCAAAAAAGATCTCCACTGTTTTCTTTATTGTGGATGCAGATACTACATACTCTCTCTTGCTGGGGAGAGACTGGATTCATGCCTCTCAATGTGTGCCATCAACACTGCATCAACAATTAATGTTCTGGGATGGAAATCAGGTCTTCAAAATGGAAGCAAATGACAACCCATTCGATGTATCAGAACAAGTTGAAGAGTCAGTTTTTTATTCCAGTCATTTGGCTCCGATGTCTCAGTTATATATGGCCAGGGAATACCCAAACAAGGGTTATAAACTCACTGGCCAGAACTCGATGTTCTATTAAAAGAACAACTTTATTGTATGGCTCATGATAAAGCCACACCTATTCTCGTATAATTTGTCTGTTATGGGTGATACAAGTTTAGAAGTATGTAGTTCTCTTATTAATAAGTTCTATTTAAAGCAGTTATTACATAAAGCAGAAAATAGTAAAGAGATTCTTGATGTTCACCTCCAAGAAGATGAACAATTTCGTTGGCCTGATTTATTAGAAAAAACAGAACCAACAGCTTCATCACAAGACCCATTATTGGAGTTCAATTTAGGAACCGAATTGGTTCCAAAAGTGATCAGGCTAAGTGGTTATTTGTCTGAAGAGCAACAAACAATGATGCTCGAAGTTATTAGAAACAACATTGATTGTTTAGCATGGGATTATTCAGAAATGCCTGGTTTAAAAAGAAGTCTAATAGAGCATCGATTGCCTATCAAGGAAGGTTGCAAACCTTATAAACAACCCCCAAGGCGAATGAGCCCGGATCTGATGCCTCAAATCAAGGAAGAAATCCAAAAACTTCTCAAAGTAGGTTTCATTCGGCCTTGCCGTTATGCGGAATGGCTGGCTAACATTGTACCAGTGGTCAAGAAAAATGGTAAGATCAGGATATGCATCGATTTCAGGGATTTGAATCTAGCTACCTCTAAGGACGAATATGTGATGCCTATGGCCGACATGTTGATTGATGCAGCAGCAGGGCATAAAGTCCTTAGTTTGATGGATGGTTATGCAGGTTATAACCAAATATTTCTGGCAGAAGAAGACATTCCTAAGACAGCATTCAGGTGCCCAGGGGCTTTAGGTATTTATGAATGGACAGTCATGCCATTCGGGTTAAAGAATGCAGGGGCAACTTACCAAAGAGCCATGAATTCAATCTTTCATGATCTGATTGGCAAATCTATGGAAGTTTATATTGATGATGTTATTGTCAAATCCTCCAGTTTTAACGAACATTTGAGAAATCTAGAAGAGGCATTCGAAAGAATGAAGAAGTACAAGTTGAAGATGAATCCAACCAAGTGTGCTTTTGGAATATCAGCTGGGAGCTTTTTAGGATTTTTAGTTCATGAGAGAGGAATTGAAATCGATGCTA